AGGGTCTCACGGACGCGAAGGTCGTTATATATATCTTATATATATATAGGAACCTAAGAATATATTAGCGCGGACTACTTTAGATTATACTAGATTAAGATAGCCTATTATACTTATCTATAGATAAGTCTTACTAGTCACGGTATAGCGGTAGTAGCGGGTAGGTAGAGTAAAGATAAGGCGTATAGGCCTATCGCGGTTAGTAGAGTAGTAGCTAATACTAGAGTTAGAGCGAAAGAGATATTTAGAGCCGGCCGTATAGCCCTTAATATACTTATAGTATATCGAACTATAGTTCGCCGTTTTCCTATAGCGTAAACCATGACCATGTTTAGTATCCTCGGCGACCTAGACCTTATTATTAGTAGGCTAGGGTTTAGAGTAAATATTAAGGTCCTAAAAGAACCTAGAGCGACTAAATTAGTCTATATTAGACTAGAAGAAAGAGCGGTAAGGCGGCGGCGTAGGTAAACGCGAGGGCTCGCGATTATTATCTATAATAAGATCTTCTTTATCCTCTAGAGAAGGTAGAGTAGATAGTATACGCTTTAGAGCGAGAGGGGAATCTACGACCACTTTATCTATAAGTTTAGTACTAGGATTACCTAGATTAGAGCGACTAGTAGCTATATTAGTAGTAGAGGTAGTAGTAGTAGTAGCCCTAACTACTCTCTTCTCTAACTTAGAGCGCGCCTTTATACTACCGTAATAGATAGGCTTCTTAGCCGGCGTAGCCGGGGAGGAGGCGATACCTTTAGAGCGAGTCTTATAAGAGGAGGAGGCAGGCTTAGAGATAGAACTAGTATTAGATATCTATATATATACGTTAGCTAGAGATCTAAGAAAGGAATATTCGTCTACCCTTAACGGCGATTAACGAAGCTAAATCAGTAACTATAATAACGCGAATAGATTATATTAGACCGGTTCTAATAAGAATAGACTACTATAGACCCTTCTAAACCTAAACTAGGGAAGATAGTATATAAATTAACGACTTACCTTAAGAGCGAGGTAGATATACTAGAGAATAAAATTAAAGGCGAGCGAAGCTAAATATATACTCGACTAAAGTGGCGATTATATATTCTAGGTAGTAGCTATAAAGTAAGGGATAAGCGCGTGTATAAACTAGTAAAAGTAAACTAGAATCTCGAGTTTACCTATATTAAGGATAGTTATAACATTATAGGAACTTAGTTACGGATATATAGGTACACGATAGATTATAGAGACTTAGGATTATATATACTTAAGTGCTTCGGGGCGAAGTATAAAAAGAAGAAGGATATTATTAGGACGGGAACTATAATAGATCTATATAGACTATTCTAATCTATATAGCCACGTAGTGGCCAGAGCTAGGTTAAGTTAGCTAAGTTAAGCGAGGTTACTATATAAGTAGACCGTATAAACTAATTCCTACTTCTTAGGAATCAACCTTGTATAAGAGTAAGATTACTCTATAAATACATTTCTATGTCTCTCTATGAACTATTAGACTACTATCCCACGTCTTTACTCTTTATAAAATTAGTAATAAAGCGGCTAGAAATATAGTAGATTATTATAACTCTAATAGTAGGTAAACTAATTCCGCCTAAATTAGTATAGAAAGTTATCTACCTACTATTATTCGGCGTAGTTCTTTAAGAGACTCCTTAAGTTCTTATCTCTTTATAAGAAGTTTCGCGCGTTCTATCTATTCTTTAAGAGTTTAAATCTCTCGAGCCTAATTCGCGATATATTTCTAAAGTTTAGTAATAGTTTATTATAATATCTTATATGGCTCCGCTACGACTTATTATCCGGCTTTATATTATTAGAAGTTACTTAGTATATCTACTATTTCTTCATCTAAAAGCTCCGTGATTTAGTCTAATATTTCTACTTCTTAGTTAGAAATAGCTAGAATTAATACTAATTATAGAGGATCCCTATTATTTAATATAGTATTACTTATCTCTATAGTAGATTATATCGACCTTCTTGGTTCTAGTTAGACTATCTTAACTATAGTACTATATAGAGAGTAATTCGAATATAAGAATAGGGTTATTAGATAGTAGTATAGTTAGATAGAATAATAGGGTATATTATAAGGAGGCGGGCTCCACGTACCAACCAACTACACTAAAAGGACCGAATCTTAAAGCTACTACTTCAAGGGTGGAGCACACTACTTATATACGACTACTATACACATGTAGAATCAACTGGCAGGCCACGTGCCTAACATATATTCTATTATAGAATAAATTACTATTAAACTCTTTTAGTAGAAATCTAAGAGTATATATATAAAGGGACGCTAATCTATCTAGTATATAACTATTTACTACCCTTTACATTACCTCCTAACCCTATTAGCTAAGGTACATATAGGTTAGGTTCTATCTAAGGCTAAGTCCTAACATTAATTATATATACTAGCTTCTCCAATATATAAAGTATATAAGCGGCTTATCCCTAGTACTCTAACGCTCTCTAGAACCTCCTACTATATATATATTTTTAGATATATTCTAGGGATCTAACCCTAGCTTGTTAAGGTCTTTCTTAGGATATATTTTTTAGTAGTATAGAAATATACTTATCTAGAGCACTAAAAGATAAAATATAGTTACGAAGTCTATATATAAGAGCGAATATATAGCTTACTTAAATACTATAAGTTATCTTATATAGTCTATTAATTTAATTATAGAACTTACTAGATCTACTCTTCCTTATCTACCCTAGCTACTTACTAATAATTAGATAGCTATATCTTTAATTAAGAATATATAGATTAATACTCGTTCTAAGTATATTACTATACACTTTTATTTCGTCCGTAAGAAATATATATATAGGGTTTTCGAGGTTCGTTATGTCTCTTCTACTAAGAACTTAGCGGATATATATATAAAGTCTCTCCCTATACTAATATTAGAGAAGTTAAGAACTAATATTAGTCTATAATGAATGGTTTAAGTATAGGGGAGTATAGAAGGAACTACTCTCTCATTTATTTATTACACTAGCTATTAGCGTAGAATACTTAAGTCGTCTCTCTTAGACTTAAGGACTTAGACAATATAACTTCTTTAGAACTTCAACAATCTACACTACCATATTAGGGAAGCGCACACATGGGGGAGTCTTCGTTTCGAATAATGGTTCCATATCCTTTCTCATCGTCTGCAAAGAAACTAAGAAGCCTGTGAGCAGCCCGGCAAGCCAGGGTTTACGATGACTTAACATGATGCGTGGATGCCAGGTAGCAGAGTGAGTAGGGTATAGTCTCTTGTGACGAACCAAAAGGACCGAAGCTATGGAAACGCGAGTGCATTTATACGGCTACAAGATCCTCTCTTGTTATCACCAAGGTGTTTGCACAATATAACTCTCGTGTAGACCCATCATCTAACAAGGTAATCAATTTCTCTTTCACCCAAAATGTATATGGAAGGAGGAGTCATGAGAAGGGTAGTGTTGTTTCTTCTGATGACGTTGGGATTACAGATATGTCTTTCAACGTTCCTGTGGACTCAATATTTTCTGAACTGAATTATACGCAGATGGTTTCGTATAAGTGAATCATAGCCTCCGTTCGAACTCGTAGGCTGAAGCTACTACTCCGATCAACCGTGAGTCAAGCCGAATTCAGCGCTGTAGCTGAACCCTACCTAATTTTATATATAACATGGATGTCACCAAAATCGCAAGTCTTTTTGGGATCTACCACTACTGGGAACCACTATACAACCATGGCGTTGTTTAATGCTCTGTATGGGAGGGACACTTTTCATATGAGACAACTCACAAGCTGTTGTTGATAAATCCACAACGGATATAACCGCTCCTTTCATCGCCAGAGGATTTGTTGAGATCACGGCTGACGAGCAGAAATCATCTTTCCTACGGTCCCTATACTGGCGATCGATCCGCCGTGAGAGACTAGATGGTATAGATATATCTCTTAGTAGCCTCAGGATGTCAAACTTTCTTTATGTAAGGCTACGCAAAAGGGTAGGTTTTGGAGATAATTCTTCACCAACATTGATCTTTATGTCATGACTTCCTACCTTGCATAGTGTTGTCGTACATTCTGACCCAGATTCGTGAACTTTGGCACATTTTGCGATACTCCAGGGATAACTCACATCTGACTAACACATAGCAAGAACTACAGCTGTAGTTTTGTTGAGATATTTCGGCTCTCAAAGTCTGTCCCTGAATACGTCTTCGCCGCCTATTTTAACGAACTGGTCACCCCTACGAAACTTAGCCCAATTCCAGTACATTCGCAGCCAGTGTCACTTCCAAACCAACATCTGTTCTGGAGGTAGTCCACGCCCAGAATGAAATCTCCAAGGTATTCAAGAACTACAAGTTTATGTACGGGAGTGCTACTAACATATGACGGCGGTCACAAGGAAGAACGTGGGCTCAGCCTATCAGTACACGAATACCCTCGATTAGCAGCTTGACTGTCAGCAATCCACGCTTTTCATTCCATAGATTTGAATCAAAGGCCGAGCCACTCTGTCGACAAAGAGTCTACAAACAGCGTATCTTAATTAGACGATGACTTGCACATAATTAGTGCAGAGGAGTTTCGGATGCGACTAGGGTGCTATATGGAGATAGATCAATCAATATTAAATGTGCTTTGTATGTGATGCTATTGGTAATCCTGGCTGCATCAAAGGCTATGGGTCAGACTGACGCTTCGGTAGTCACACAGGCGACTTGATCTTCTCACAAGTCGCCCAAACCAGCCAAACACATGTAGTTCAGTTGGTGACCAGTCCTAGCGACGAGAAGGTGAGAATCTAGGCCCATGCTGAGAACTATAGGTCGTTCTGCAGCTTCAGAGCAGCTTCTAGACAGGGTCACAAGAAGATGAGACATAGCTCAATGGCAGAGGAGAAACTAGAGCTCTCTCATATCGATTGGTAGCTCGTTTGCTCTAGCCATTGATATACTTGTTCAACCCAAAGCAATCCTTCCAACACCCAACACACACCAGAACGCTTCCTCTCTCCTTTCCTTTCCCTTTCCTGCATCTCCACGCGAATCTCCCCGCGCATTGCCTAGTGACGCACTCAGGGCAGTCCCCCTCTCTCGATCTTCCACCGCCGTGGACTCCGTTTCATACTCGATGCGCACAAATATGGGTATCTCAAGCACATCCTCGTCTTCTCGCAAGCCTTTGCTTCGCAAGTAATCCTCATCGTCATCAACTCCACCATCCTGTTCGGGCGCAGAAGTCTTATCGTCCTTCGGAACAAAACGCCCTGGTACGACCTCCAGAATCACACTCGTCCAATTGCGGCCTTTGTCCCACACCTTGCCGGCTTCAGCCTGCGCTTGCGCACCGGGGCCTCCTGGTGCCACAGCATCGCCGCGGCGCGCCGAGCCGCTACCTAGTGCTTCGTCCCAGACATCTGTGTTTGCGCCAACGTCAAATTGGGGGCAGAGGACTGTTATCTTCGACTGTATGCGTCCTGAGGTCATGGATGGCGTGGCGAGCGTCACTTTTATGGGATCGAAGAGAGGATTTGTGAGGGTCAGGAGATACTGAGTTGTCGAAAATGGACTTAGACTGTCGTACTTGAATGGTGTGATACCAGGCGCAAGACTTGCACCAGGAAAGGGCAAAGGCGGCGCGGCGAGCGCTCGAATGGAGAGACGTGGGATTTGGTTGAGCGCTAGCAACTTGATCTTGTAGCGATGTGAGACGACCTTGTTCTCTGGTCGTGATAGGATTTGTCGACATTGTCGGCAGCGTTTGGTTCGCTTCGTCCGTAAGTGGGTTGGCAAAGGACGTAGTTCGGAGGAGAACCGAACAGTGGGATTAATTTGACGGAGGCGTTGAGTAGCATCGACAGTGTTTTCCCAACCTCCTTCTTTCATTCGTTGTATTTTGAGGGCTTCAAATTTAGAGGAGACGAGTGTCAGACCTTCGTCCACATTGCGAGCTTCAGTCATAGTCCGTGCTTTTGTGTCATTTGACCTGGCGCGACCAGTCGCCGAAAGCAATCGGCTCAAGTACTTCGAATGCCGACTATGGTCATTGGATGATTTCTCGCGAGAAAGCTGCGAACGATAGAATGCAAGGAGGTTTGCGTATTGCTCGTCGAAATCCACAGGTTCAGTAGGGGCCGCATCGTCCGCTTGGAGATGCTTTCCTTCGTCTGCTTTCGGTCGTTCTTCCGGCCTATAGTCATCTGGATGCCTTCTTTTGTCAAGGAGATCAATCTTCAGCTTGCGGTCTTTGTCTCTTTCTCTTTGTGGTGGTACTAATTCCCCGCCATTCTTGATGTCCAGCAACTGCTTTGCAATCCCACTGATCTTTTCGAAATGGACTCCAATATCAAGAGAAGTCCACTGACAGTACAGACACTGTAGAATCCACGGTCCGTCGGACCCTCTAGCCTCCTCATCGGAAAGCTGATAATTGGGGACCGATGGTTTGAGTGAGGATACTTGCATTGGTGCAATGCAGACAGGACAATTGAGACAATTTCTCTGGCACCTATGTTACAGCTTTAGGCTCATTTATTTCGACTTTGGGTGCTATGGACTAACCTATTCCCATCACCCCTGACAGCCGAGCTTCCTGCTTCAAGCTGGCAGCTCGGGCAAAACCAACATAGTACCTCCTCTGTGACGCATCTTGGGCATCGTATTTGTTTGCAATCGGCACAATAGAGGAGGTGTTCTATCGGGAACAATGAGTAGTTGGCGCGCGAAGACTGCGGGTCGAACGTTTGCTCATCTTCGTCATCGTCTTGTGCAGAGCCAGCGGAGAGCTGTGAAGCTCGTTTTGCGGCTATAGACGTAGGAATCGCACCGCTTGCATCATAACATGGACATGAATAGTACGTATAAGGGAACGACTGCGCCATGTTGAGCGCTGACGCTCGACAACGGACGGCGTCGAATGTTTTCAGACGCGGAAGGAGTCCGGGGACGCGAGTAGGCGGGTCCGTGCGTTTGAAACATTTATCGTCGACGTCACGCGTCAACCTCCAGTCTTCTCTGTTCTGCGACTCATGATTGCGATACTGGATGGTAAAGCTCCCTTTATTTGTGCCTGTTTGTCTAGTGAGATTCCAATATGAGATCCTCGTTGTTGCCCCGTTCGGTGAGACGCAATTGCCTGCGTCCTGCGACATTTACTACTGCTCGAAGCTATGCTATACAGGCCCCGGGAGCTCCCACCTTGGAAGTCTTCAATCGACATACAAAGTGGTTACAACGGGACAAAAGCGCATCTAATGTTGAGGAAAGCCGAAGTGTTGACTATATAAGAGACGAAGTGGCATCGCGTTTATGTGAGAGACTACTTGTGAGTAAGGCCCTGACGGTGATTCCAACTTGAAAGCTGATTCTCTGGCAGGACATCAATCGCAACTTCCCACATGTACTCGACTTTGGTGCAAATGCTTGCAACATCGCGCGTACTCTCACGCTGCCGGGTATCGACATAGACTCGACAGCCCCAGTTTCTGCGCCACTTAAGACTCGTATTGGTAAATTGACAGCCGCGGATTCGTCCCCATCTATGCTCTATCGAGACGAGGACCTGCCTTTCAACAACGAAATTGATATCATTAGAGATGTGTTGAAGACTGAGGAAACACTGCCGTATGGTGCTGAAACATTCGATGCTGTGCTGAGCAGTCTGTCGTTACATTGGATCAACGATCTCCCAAACCTTCTCCGGCAGATCAACCTTATTCTGAAACCTGACGCTCCTTTCATGGGGGTCATGCTTGGTGGCGATTCGTTGTTCGAGCTGCGCACATCACTGCAGCTCGCAGAGCTTGACACACGAGGAGGTGTAGGCTCGCATACCTCTCCTCTTGCAGACGTTCGTGATATCGGCGGACTTCTACAAGGAGCAGGATTTAAGCTCTTGACTGTAGACGTGGACGACATTGTTGTGGACTATCCATCTAGCTTTGCTCTAATGAAGGATTTGCAAGCCATGGGAGAGTCTAATGCAGTGGTGTCACGAGAGATGGGAGCGATTCGAAGAGATACTTTGATGGCGGCGGAAGCTATATACAAAGAGATGCATGGCAACGAGGACGGAAGCATTCCTGCAACCTTTAGACTAATTTACATGATCGGGTGGAAACCTGGCCCAAATCAACAGGAACCTCTCGAGCGAGGCAGTGGGATGGTTAGTATCAAGGACATTCTCGAAGGCCAAAACAAAACGCCATGATCCAGATCGCTTAATGCCATGGTATAAAAAAGACAGATAGTGATGGCATCACTTGTGGCCAGCAAGGATTGGCGCTCTCGGCCGGTTCAACTCAGGATAGCGTTAAATTCTCCGACGCTGAAAGTGGTTCTGTAGCCCTTAAAGGGCTCCGTACCCGCTTGAAAGGCTAGGACGGCCGAGTCAGTGATCACACGCAATCAAGAGATAGGCGAACACTTACTCATGAGGTATTGAGAGGCAATAGGGAAAGCCTTGTTCTGGGCAAGCCACGTGTAGAACTTCTTGACGTCGGCGCCAAATTTTCTTATCGGGCCATCCTTAACGACAAAGGAGTAGACGTGCATATCCCCGTTGTAGCCATCATACAGATCCCATGTATAACCTTCGATTTTTGGACTTGCTACCGGGGAGCCGCTTTCCGAGATAGGTCTTGCTCCACCATACGCCGCCAGCCTAAAATATCGGTTAGCGGGTGTTATGGCAGAGACTTGAACGTGTTACCAGATCATTACTTCGAACTCGCCGTTGGTGGTACCGCCCTTGGGGTCTGAGTTGCTAAACAGATCGTATGCAACATCGGCGACAATATCTTCGTTGTCGTAACTCCAGGCGAGATAGGAGCCCATAGTAGTAAATTTGTCGATAATTTTTGGAGTAAAGACCTTGCCAGCGTATGGATAACTCTTCACCATGCCCTCACCACCTTGCCATTCCCAGGTCGAGCGCCAGGCAACACCCTTCTTGGTCAGGGCCTGGAACCATGTACACTGCGAGCCCCCCGTCGCTGAGCCCGCACCCCAAGCATTGTTATTGAGACCATATCCGTTGGATGTTCGGTAGTATTGGGCGTCGCCACAAAGCTCGGCGAGCTGCTTCCCACGCCCAAAGAGGTCTTGTGGCTTTGATATGGGGCTAGCTTGCACCATGGCAAAGCCCAAACAAGCCAGCAAAAGAATATAGGTCGAATGCATGATTGAGAAGAAAGATGCGGATAAGAAGTGAAGTGGGAATACTGGATAGTAATGTTGCTGCGGCACAGCATATTTCTCTGATGAGCATGGGCTACTTATACATGTTTCAATACAACGCCCTTACGATGCACAAAACGTACGTCAATTTCGTTCACACTTCTGTTTCAAAGCAGGCACAGGCGGCGAAGGGAACCCAGCCATACTTCCCGACCTTGCTCACTCCATACCTTGCTTCGCAATCGGTGCTTAGAAGAGGCTGTCTGCGTCTATTCCCAGACAGGCAAGCAATTAGATGCTTCCGAGATGACAGGCTCATGTGGCATTTGTACGACGACTCACTGTATGGATAGTCATGGATGGGCGCAATAGAGAGCGTGATTGCGTGTCAGGAATAATACGAACATTGGAGTGCAGCATTGCAGCATCTGATGACTCGTTGTTGTTATTTCGTTTGCGGGTGTTTTCCGCCCGTGCCAGCAGCTTGACGGGCGGGGCGGGTCCGATCCATCCTAAACGCAGCAAAAACGGCAGCCAAACCGCATCCGGACATTCTCCCAACGTCGACCAACAGCACTATTTCTAGGACACTGCCGGATTGGCTGCGTTTCACCTTCTGCTGGACTACACACCATGTGAACCTTCTCCTCAATTGTCCTTGGTTCATCTAGATATCAAAGGTTGAACAGCATCTGTCCAGGGTGCGGCGCAAAAGATTCTCTTTCATGGCAAACTACGCTATGCGGATAATGAGATTGCACAGCCGCCTTGCTTTACCCCTTGCTGGAAGCAGATCACACTCCTTTCACTTTCACTCTTTTATGTCACGATCGTTCTCGACGGCCCAGTCTTATCAAGCTGTCAGGCCCCAAAACAGCTTACCCGCAGCGTACTACCGTGGCGGAACCTCACGAGCTGTCTTCTTCAAGCAACATGATCTTCCCAAGAACCGGGGAGAGTGGTCTGACATCTTTCGCGGTGTGATTGGGAGCCCTGATCCGCATGGTCGTCAGCTGGATGGCCTTGGTGGTGGCATTTCGAGTCTTTCCAAGATCTGTGTCGTCGGTAAATCATCTCGAGAGGATGCAGATGTGGACTACACCTTTGTGGCCCTTGGGATCAAGGATGATGACGTCGACTATTCGAGCAATTGTGGCAATATGACCAGTGCAGTTGGGCCCTTTGCTGTCGATGAGCGCCTGGTAGATGTTCAGACTACTGGGTCAGACAACACAACAACAGTGCGGATTCACAACACGAACACGGGAAAGATCATCCACTCAACGTTCCTCATCTCAGACGACGGCTCTGAAGCTGCGTCATCTGGAGAGTTCGCAATCGATGGCGTATCTGGCCATGCTGCAAGAATACAACTGGACTTTGTTGACCCTGCTGGCTCACGAACTGGGAAGTTGCTTCCCACTGGCAATCCTGTCGACGTCTTCGATGGCATCAATGTGACCTGTATCGATGTCGGCAATCCCTGCTGCTTCGTCAGAGCAGCAGACCTCAACGTCGAAGCTAACATCACCCCCGACGAGATTGATACCCACCCGGTTCTTCTCTCCCAACTCAACAGTCTCCGTCGTCAAGCAGGTGTCGCCATGGGAATTGCAGACTCCCCCGCAGCTGTCCCCGGAAGCGTACCTAAAATTGGCCTCGTGGGTCCTCCAGCAACTAACTCACGAGCTATCTCACAAAACCAAACCGCCGAAACAGTCGATCTGCTCATACGTGCGCTCTCCGTCGGGCAGCCGCATAAAGCCGTGCCCATCACCGTTGCACTCTCCATCGCGGCCGCTGCTCGCGTGCCTGGCAGTGTTGTCGCTGCCTGTGTTCAGCAGGAGCTCGTGGACCCCGCGGGCATCACTGTAGGCCACGCCAGTGGAAAACTGCTCGTTGGCGCGCAATTCGAAAGTGATGGCCGCTTGGCCTGTGCGACGGTATACCGCACGGCACGGCGAATCATGGAGGGCAGGGTATTCTGGAAGTAGAACATGTAGAACAAGATGTGCATGCGGCATGTAAGGGCGTGGTTGCAGGGCCTGCAGAATGTAGTGGCACCAAAAACTGTGTACGTGGGTAAGCACCTAAAACTCGCAATACCCCGGATCGGCAGAGGCGCGCGGCAACATCATGCGAGCTTTGGGGGAGAGGGGGGAGTTGTGCGACGGCCAGCGCATACGTATCCGCTTCTTATGGAAGGTAATGTGTGAGTGAGATGGGAAATCTGACGGTCAGATGCTACCCCATCTGTGCTTAGCACCGCCAGGACACCAATATATCTTACGTTTCCCACGACGCACAGAACGTCATTGCGTGGTCTTTTCACTTGCTCTTGTTTTGTCAACTTGCATCGCCGAGGGCATCAGCTGCATCAATGCGTCCCGTTTGACCGCCCCCTACTAAGCGTCTATCGTGAGATCCAGTGCGATGTGATCAGCAGATGAGTGTGGTGTGGAGATTTTACGCATTGATTCTGCGGATGCTGACCACCCATCCATCCATACGTACATAGCATTATAGCCTCGAGATGCTGGGCCTTTCATAGTCGGTTTTAAGCAATTCGTACGACGACGTTGAACCCGGATCCTTCCGCAGTGGCGATCGGATCGTGCATGCTGTCAGATGCATCTTGATATACCAGGGACGACAAAGACATTTACATTCGAGCCTATGGCGCTGCTGCTGCCGGCTGTGCGGGCAACTTGCATGTGATGGTTTGTGACGAATAAAAGTGAGCTGCGAAGATGTCATTATCTATATGCTTCTGCTAGCGTATATCATTAGCTATCATCCCACCTGCCATGAAGATCAGAGCGGTGAAATCCGGCGTCGGTACTGAGAATTGACGTATAAGGCTGCTGTCGTCAGGATGCTATAGCCGGTTTCCAGTGATATATCCTCCGCTCAGAATTTCAGCTCACGGATCTCAGGATATAATCCAAGAATATCAATGTCCGGGCGTGAAGACGCGCGATCCGTGGTATTTCAATACACGTTCTCGCTGCTTGGAGACGAAGAATATCTTTTGTGATGGTGTTCTATCGAATCTACCTCTGCTACTAACACGCTCACTCTCCCTACCCTCGCTCCCTACTTCCAGCGTTGACTAGGGACTCTTCTGCTGGTCTTATCAGAACTTGTTACTTGTACCTCTTGGGATATATGTAGACATCCATTCGCTCGACGTCAGTTGTGTGTTGCGTGTTCCTTGTTATGTGCTGTATCATAGCGCGGTGCCCTGTGCATGAATACTGGTCCTTCAAGCTTGCGACCTCGCATCGTCCATTGGAAAACGCATAGCCATATGCTTCCTCTAAATATACGGATATCTGAGAGCCCTATAATACCGCTTTCCGCACTCCTCTCATTGAGCTAGCGACTTATTCGTGTGATACATAGTCATCTACTGAATGCTGTTAAGCAGCCAATGTGGAGTATACGACATTCTTTCGAGACGTTTGCGCCGTTAGTGTTGGTTATATGTACATGTATGCATACATCCTACCTGAGACGTCAATCAAGCCAAGCCCAGCGATTTCATATTCGTTTCACTCTCCAGACTATTCAAATCCCCCCAAATAACCAGCGTTTGGGATGTTTGTTTGATAGAGCTTCATAAGATTTGTGTGCCTCTGTTTCTGCTGTGTGGTTAGATAGACTAACAGATGTGTCGAATTCCACGCTCTTTGCATGTTGTAAACATGAAAATGTCGATGGTAGAATAGTGTATAGGCAAACCTTAGGTGTGCTTGATCGAGAAAGTGGGGATAGGGGCTGAGCAAAAGAGCGTTGTGGATATCGTGCAGAACAGACCATGGCACAGGGCGATCTATTTATGAGTTCAAATATGTACATACGAACTGATACTGGGTGGTTGGCTGGACGCCTTAGGAGCACTGCCCGAGCACTCCCTTCACATAGGCCTGCCTACGCCTGGAAAGTCTCCGCTCTCTTCCCAGCCTTACTCTTACTCCCACCATTCCACACATTGAAATTCACAACCTGCCCCTTCGGCCTCGCCAAGATGGGCGTACCCGTAGCACTCGCCGCCGTGGCGCCGTCCCTCACAACGTGCACCTTCACCGCGCCAGTCTGCCCATTCATGCTCTGACTAGTATGTTGCGCACCCGCCGCCGAGAACGTATGCGTGACGGCAGGATTATCACCGATCTGAACCGTGACGGAGCCCGGCGCCTTCAGCAGCGCGGTAACAAACACCTTGTCCTGCGCAACAAGCTTGGGGTCCACGCAAGTGCTGCCATCGGGGAATTTGTTGATCGATGACGGGCAGTTATTGCCCGTCACGCCGCCCACGTCACCGGCCTCGCCGGCAGTCAGACGATACCACATATTGATCTTGTCCTCAGCGACACGCGGATACTCGCCCTTGTAGCGCGCAATGTAGTAAGGGAGCAAGTCGCGGAAGCCGTCGTGCGGCATGTCGTTGACGTATGCGTCCGCACCGGGCGGCACGGCGCCCGTCCGCGGGCCAATATAGTGGCTCTCGCCATAGTCGTTCCAGGTGACGATCTGGACAATGTCCGGCTGGACGTCCAGGACCTGCTGCCAGCGCTGGTGCCACATGTCGTCGCCGCGCCACAGCCAGGCCTTGCCGAAGCTCGGCAGCCGGGTGTAGAACCAGGGCGAGACGCCCATCATGAAGGTCTTGTCTGCGACGGTCTTCTTCCAGCTGTGGTCCTGGGCGGCGGAGACGTCGTGTGCGCCGCGCGGCCACATGTCCCAGCTGAAGGCGCCGTCTGTGACGCCGATCTTGTCGTCGGCGGCGAAGCCGGAGGGGCCGAGAGATGTCCAGGCTGGGACGAAGTGTATGCCGCCTTTTACGGAGGCGCGGATGGATGGCCAGTCGCCGGATTTGCCGGGGCCTTCGAAGGTGCTGACGAGCGGGGCGCCGTTGACTTTGAAGTGGGCTTTACGCTGGCCGTAGCGGTTCAGGAGGTCGGTGACGTCGTGGGGAGCCCAGGGGCCTTGGGCGAGGTAGTCGAAGCTGAAGGCGAGCTTGAAGTTGAGATATTCTGCAGCGGTGAAGGCGTTTGCGATGGTGGACTCGTGGGTTGCCTTGTCGGCGGCGGTGTTCAGGATGAAGCCGTCGATGCGGGCGGCTTGGGCGATTTTGATCTCGGAGGACCATTGATTGACGGAGTATGAGTCGACATTGCCAATCTGAGGAAGTTAAGGTGTGATCGGGGACTGTCATGAATGGATTCGGCTTACGATGACGTGGGCAAGTACATCGCCAGCACTGGCGACTGCTGCAGTCGAGAGGAGAGCTGTGAGGACCTTGAGTATACCCATGGTGATCAGTGAAGAGTCCCGCTCGGTTTGTGAAGGCTATCTCCTCTAGTTATGAGTATATGACCTAGTCATGGCATTGCCAAGTGTTACAGCCTTATATCTCGTCCGATGACGGGCATTACACTCCACGTTTGAAACCCAGCGGTTGTCAGTACTAGATTGAGTCCGGACTACTCCGGAGCGGTACCCCGCAAAGAATTGAAGGCCATGCTATAGCTGTGATCCTACCATTACAGAGGTTAGGTGGTGACCGACGGTTCTGAGTGGCTCAAAAGGGCAGATTGTTTCATAAACCCACTTGCTCTGACTCGTTAAGTTATTTCCATGCTATTATAGTGACAAACATGTTCTGGACTGCATGCGTAGATGCCGAGTCGCCCTCAAGATGTAAGCCGATCCCTTAGTGTTTGAGGCTAACGATATTGCATTAGGGTTTCATGCCGTCACAGAGAGAATCTTACGGGCAGACAACTCTGTAATGTATGACCCACTGTAAGAAACCAGTATCTGCCAGATGCAATATCGTAGCTGGCTTCTGCCATTCTGTTACAGATGTTAAGGAAGCTATATGTGAAATGGGAGTAGGGAGAAACAAGAAATCTGAAAGCTGGACCGGGAAATAGTGGTCATAGGTCGCGAAAAGCTACTAATTCCTCTTTTCAGTCAAGTTCTCACGACGTGTACCTATAACTTCCATACCTAAATCATATTGTTATCAGTTTTAGTTTGCAGCGCAGGGTGAGCAAAGATGCAGAAGAAGTCTCTACTTTTCGAACATAAGACGAATCATAGTACTTCATAAGGCTACATGATTGGTCAAAGTTTCTTGAGTTTTAGTGAGTCCTACTGACTGTTGTTGTATGAAACGTCGTTAATCTGCCTCTGGTCTGACGCTAGTCTTGGAACAGCCTAGTCCCGCTTATTAGGCACGTCCTTGTCATCAAACGCGAGAGAGATGTTGCGGATGCCATCCATCCAAGCCCTGGTTTATTGTTTTGAAACCACAAGCATTTCCCTGGATACCATCTATCCAGCGCCAGTGATAAGGTAGCTGCATGTCGTCCGACCTACTAGAGGCGTTTGGAAATCCTTCCGAACAGCGTCCAGCTGCCCCGCCACAGCAGAAGAAGCCTGCGTCGAACAACAAGAACGCCTTTTCTTTCGAGGCATTCCAAGCATCTGAGGCTGCAAAGCCTCGCGGTCCACATGGTCCGACTTTTGAGCCTGGGAAAAAGATCCTAGAAGCTCTTTCAGCGTATGAAGCTGAAGCACCCTTTGAGGAAGACGTCGAGGAATACGACGAAGAAGAAGACTTTGGGGACTTTGAGGATGCACCTCAGCAGCCAAAAGACTCTAACTCACCCAGTGAGGTTAGATCGCTTGCTTCGCTGAATCAGTATATGCCTGATTTGCTAGACATTGCACCTGCCGCATCGACTATCCAGCAAAACCAAACCACTGTTCCACAGCGGGACTACGACTCAGGCCAAGCATCGTCATTGCACTGGAGCAATATCTCGTCATCGTCGCCTACGAGACTAAGTGGTATTGACAGATCAGCTCCTGTTTTGCAGGCTAAGGTCGACAAGATAGCACCTGATCCTGATGTCCTCTTTGACGCAGTTCAAGAGAATGATGAGGATGATGATGACTTTGGAGATTTCGAAGACGGAGTGACTTCACCGTTGGAGCAGTCAGTCACTCCAACAGCAACTGGCAGTGATCTCTTGGGCCTCAACAGCGGCATGAACGTGCTGAGCTTTGGCCTGCATTCGAAGAACACTGGCCCACCACCTACTGTTACTGCGACAGATACTCTGATTCCTGTCACGGGAAAGCAGAGCAGTAAAGGTGACCACCAGAAGGGAAGCGCGTCGGTATCTCATCCACTAGCGAAACGGCTGATTTCAACTCCCAAGAGAAGTGTTCAAGATGACCCATCTATGGCATCGAGGCCGCCACAGGCCAAGGTTCTACACAAGGACGAAGAATGGGATGATTTTGCAGACTGGGAGCCGACTACTGCTCCTCCCAAACCAGCAAATACTGAGCAAGATACATGTGTGTCCCGCATAACATCCTCGATCAAGCCACCTCTAGGTTATGAGCCCTCGATAGAAAGCTTGCCACCAACAAATGTACCTCCACCTGCCGTTCTCCTGTCTGTATTCCCACCACTCTTCGCCACTGCCCAAGATAAACTTTTCAAACCCTTGGCTGCTCAATCACACAATCTCAAGAAACGCATATTATCAGACCCGGCTGTAGGCGAGTTTCTCCGGGGCTACTTGCTACTTGCGATCGTTGCCGCGCGTGTCATTGCTGGCAGGAAGTCTCGCTGGAAAAGAGACACTCACCTATCCCAAGGCATGCGAATCGGACCTGCGTCTTCACGTGGCACTTCCGGAATGAAACTCACCGGGGTTGACAAGAGTGAAACAGCTAGAGAAGACCGAGAGACGCTCGATGTTGTCCGAGCATGGCGCGAGCAGCTTGGCAGACTGCGATCCGTTGTTGCAGGTGTCAACTCAGTCAACCCCTCTGTGTACCTGAGTAGCGTCCCCGAGATCCAGGAAGCCATGCCAGTCAGAATTATCAAAGATGGTGAGGGCGGCATAACGGCGCCACATCAGTGCGCACTCTGTGGGCTCAAGCGGAACGAGAGGGTTTCAAAAGTCGACGTTGATGTGGACGACAGCTTTGGCGAATGGTGGATTGAAAAGACCAGCATGCATCGAGGTAAGCAATCTAGACAGTATATACTCACTTGACTGATAGGATGGGGCTGATCTGGATAGCATGCCGCAACTTTTGGGAGGAACATCACGGATCGCTTCGACAACGCTGAATTCTTTGGTCGAGCCAGAGAAAGTAGGTAGTCCAGTACGAAGCGATCCGAGAATGTGCTCTTCCAACCACCAAAGTCAAAGGACGTTTGTGGATAGATAATGATCGCGTCCCAACAATGCTGACAGAGGTATATATGCAGCCAATTGGCGGAGGCTTCGTGTAACAGCTCGGCGCCTCGCGGGCACGGGCCGAGAAAGTGCAGCGGGGGGCTCCCGTGATCATAGAGCACAAGCACAAAGCAAAACCACAACCAGGATCCCATCATCCATCATCCATCTCAGCTCAGCCAACTATTGATCAGATGAGCACATGTCACATGCGTACCATCTATTCTAGTATACTGACTACACGATCTATACGCGGGCCTCTCTGCATCACGAGTCGAGGGAGCAGCAATTGTCCGCATCGCCACAGCCTCCTCACATAAACCTCACGTGCACATTGCTTTGTATAGGGATGAACCAAAGTCGAAGTTATGTGACAGAATAGGTGTTGTTGGCGACGCCGTCGTTGTTGTAAGACGCCTGAGAGCTGCATTTTGTAATACACGAGGGCTGTCGTGGCACACCGGTAGTCGAACAGCAAGCACTGCAGCACGCCACACGCCGCACGCAGCTCCAGACAGGTTGGTACTCAATCCGATCGGACCGGCATAACATTTGAATCAAGGGATGAGAAGTTTGTGCCACTGACAAGTCAAAAGATGGCGAGAGCTGTATAATAAATTATAAGGGCGGAGGTGGTTGACGGCCTGCAGCAACAGGAGACTGCTCCGTGGCGGACGGGCACTGTGAGTGGTGAGTAGAGGTACCAGATTACCAGTGAGTGAGCATTAGTGATGCATGGTGATAATCTAGCATACTCTACGATAATCAAGTACATGGAATATAGTCATAGCAACCTCCGAAAGTCATTGCTAGCTTTCTTCATCTATTAGGAGCAGCAGCAATTAACAGCCAGTATTATTACCATCTCGATCCGTACCTCGTGCAGTAGTCAGACATATGTGTCGAATCCTTCCCACTCTGCCATCCATTGCTGCTTTTCTTCTCCCGGGTTCCTGTTTGGGCTTCCTTTCATCCGTCTACCATCTGTAGTAACTAAGTAACCAAGGGCAGACAGAGTACTTCAAGACTTTCTACTGCATAGGAGGTACCTACTCCTACGCTTACTCTACTGTCAGCACCGTTTCTGACAGTGCTCGTGCTCCTAGTAGATCTCGGGATTTTCTCCGCCACGCGATTCGAGCATTGCTGACTCTTGTGGGTCTCTCCCTCGGTCGCCTGTCCTCCCCAGCTGTCGACTGTGCAAAACTCCCAGCCAGCCAGTCTCCAGTTTTACCTCAGGCCTCAGGGTCCGATTTGCCTACTACTTGCCCCTCCCCCAAGACACACCCCCCTCCCCCCCTCTCAAAAGACCCCCCAACACCAGCCCAGTGAGAATAGTGGACGTCTGAACCGTGGGAACCCTCATACAGTAATACCTTTGTTCTGTACTGCTGCTGTTCTGTTCTGATCTAGACTTGAACACAGTCAATCCACCCCAATTGGCATCCCCATCCGACCTCTTCTCTGCTTTTTCTTCCATATCCCTACTCCGTGCTCGCGGTGCCGTTGTATAGATCTCTGTCTGTCTATCTGTCTGTCCCTCTCCGGGCCTCTATCCCTTGCTCGGTAGCTGGCCTATCCTTTCAACGCGACACAAGCACAAACCCGAACGCTACGAAGACCGACCGCTTGCCACGACTCCCACCGTCACGATCTCGCTGCCGTCGTCCGCAGTTGCGGACTCGATTGTGATGAGCCTGCCAACTCATGATGGTGAGTGCTGCTCTGACTACCATGAACGTGGATCCTACTCCTCCCACCTGTCCTGCGCAAGCCTCTTTGCCGTCCATGAGCTTGTCGATCAGACCGCCAATGCCGTGTGGGCGTCATTGATAGGCGACAACGCGAAAAAAAACCACACAAACGCGTCGATACTGAACTTGAGGGCTTTTTTTTCAGTCGTCGGGAGGAGACGAGAGCTTGATTGATGTACCGCCGGAATGTCTGCTAACTAATGCCACGGCGCGATTTAGACTTCTCATTTTCAAGTAGCCCCTCGTTCGCACCCGCATCCCAGCCCTCGCCGGGCCTCCTCGCAGCCGAACTCCCTCTGCAAAAGACAAAAAGCGCAGGCAATCTGCCTGCACACGCCTCATCTGCTAAATTGTCTGTTGACACGCAGAGGCAGCGCATGTCTTTTGATGCTGGAAGCATGGACCGTATGACAAGGTGGGTCCTCCCGTGCTAAACGTGCTGTTGTTTCCTCCAACCACTTTCCCATTCAACAATCACTTCTACCTGGAACTTTGGCTCCCGCCCACAACACTCGACGTAGCTCTTGACAAGGCAAACAAAGCACAAGACTCTCTCTCTCCAGTGCCCCCTCTCTTTCTCTCCTTCTAATCATTCTTGGGGTCTCCAGGTCCCCTGTAGTTCCCGAGCACGAACATGGCCTGGGTCTCTCAGGTCTTCGCCGCATAAGACAGCAACCTTCGCTTCGAGTACAGCCAAATGCAGGCACCGGCACTGCATCCAATTCACGTGCAGCATCCTTGAACCTATCACTCCCTCCCTCTCGCCGACCGTCGTCAACGTTGCCTTCTGGGCCTACTTCACCCGGTGCATTCAATTTCAGCGAAGACCTGACACGCTTTCCCTCCGAATCGCTCCATTCTTTCTCCTTCGCCCACCAATCCGAAGAGTCCATATATAGCCGACAGAACGTGCTAAAGAGAAGCATAGATTTCATGCGAGACAAGGGTTGGGCCGCCAACAATCCAGCCATCTTGCAAGCTCAGGCGAAGCTCACGGGCGACACAGAAATTCAGAGTATGATGGAATTGTTGCAAAGAGCGAATCTCATAGGTCAAGATGCGTCAAATGCAGCTGCGCTCGGAGCTCTTGGTCCCATCACTGGTCCAGCCATTGCGAGTGGAGAGAACATATTCGAAAAGAGTTTTTTCCGATCTGAAAGTCCGACTGACATCAGAGAGGGGCAATCGTCTGACGAAACTTCCCGTACAGTGTCCGGTGGAAGCTCTTCACAAATGCAAGAGCCAAGTAGTGCTACCGTTATGGACCAAGACCTCATCAGCCCTACAGCAGACCCTCACACTTTCAGGTTTACAGCGTCACCGGAATCACATAGATCCTCGGGTCGTGGTCCACGAGCCTCCTTGAAGCGAACCTACACTGATATTGGGCCCCTTACTCTACAAACAAAACTCAATGACGCACTCGCACAACCATACATTGTTGGGGAGGACCCGAAACTCGACCAGATCATACAACCAAGCGCCCTCATCACATCTCCTCAGCCAATGTCAGCTATAGCTCCACCATCAGGACACCCAGCACCACATGGTCACGGCAACCGGTGGTCGCCAGCGGCACAAGCTATCTTCACAACAGACGCAAAATACCCTTGGACCATTACTTCGGCAAACGATCTCGCATGTTTGGTATTTGGAGTGACAAGAGCAGAGGTGCGGAAACTCGGTATACTAGAAGTGGTACGAGAAGAACGTCGGAAATGGCTAGAAGAGAAGCTTAAAGACCCTGACTTGGGCTCCACGAAACGTGACATACCAGTACATCCAAACCACCCACCTCCTGTCGCCAGTCTCGCGATGGGCAATGGTGTCACTGCTCGCCTTTTGAAGAAACCGCCGTCCAGAATCTCGAAAGCCCGATCGCAGACAGACGATGGGGCTGGATCCTCATATAGCCGTGCCACCACCACCAAGGCCAACCCAAACCACACGGCTCACAAAAGTCGGGGCGTCATCCTATGTGGAGATGTCGTACCGATTCAGAAACGCAACGGGGCAGTTGGCTCTGCCAGCTTGTGGGTCAAAGAGAAGCGTGGTGGACTGATTTGGGTTCTAGAAGAGATTGCAGAAGATGTCGTCGAACTGACTGTCGATGAGGTTGGCTGCGTGGTGAAGAGTTCTGGTGCAACAGGAGCAATATGGGGTGGTGATCGCATCCGACGAGGCATGGATGTCCAGAGGTTAATACCAGGAATTCCAAAACGGGCAGGCACGAATACGGGCGCACTTGACTACGATAAAATCAACGAGTTGCGCAACTTCACCGCACATACATCCAACAGCATCAACATCCCAATCTGCGTGGAGCCGATGCTCAACGAGCCGACGTTTCGCGTCTCCAGCTTCCCGCACATTGCAGGCATCGTGGTCCTCCGTGCAGCGTCTCTCGAAGTCGCAAGCTCAAATACTGTTTTCCTTTCGGCACTCTTCGGTCAGGCGAAACCAGAGGGCTTGCACGTTAACCAGCTCATTCCCTCGTTCGATCGCATCCTCGGTGTCATGACTGACGAGGACAATGTTGACCTGGTTGACGGCATTGTGATTCCGGAACACAGCTTCAGACGTGCAAGGGCGCTGTTGGCGATGCGCGAAGGCAAAACAGATGCGGCGGCCTCTTTATTTCTGAAGCCTAGTGGGTTGCCTGCGCTGCACCGTGATGGCTCGGAAATCATGGTGGACGTACAGATGCGCGTAGTCAAAAGCGACAAGTCGCCGACAAAGTCTAGCTCAAACACGCTCGATGAAAGGCATGAAGAGGATGAAGAGAGTGTACAAAGCAAGCCCTCGGACATTGTATATGCGTTGTGGGTGACATATTCGCGCCACCTGCACGCTACAAATCACGGGGTCGGCCCCGTCACGCAGCCGATGTCTCGGCCAGGCACACCACCCCGTCAGCCATCACCAGGCCAGTCAGTCATTCCTGCACCAGCCCCAGAGGCCGATGACTCCGACGACGCCGATACAAAAGCCTTGCCACTACCAATCTCAATCTTGTCACAACAACTGAAAGAAGCCCAATCTGATTCTGTACCAAACATGCCAGACATTGCCGCACTCGGCGCCGCATCAGAGAAAACCACACTGGCGGCCGCTGCGCCGCCAAGGAAGAAGAGTATCAACGATTTCGCAATAATAGAAGAGATGGGACAGGGCGCGTATGGCCAAGTCAAGCTTTGTCGATACAAGGGAAACTCCAAGAAGGCCGTCATCAAGTACGTGACTAAGCGACGCATCCTTGTCGATACGTGGACCCGAGATCGCAGACTGGGAACGGTTCCGCTGGAGATCCACGTCCTCGACTACCTACGACGAGACGGCTTCAAGCACCCAAACATTGTCGAGATGGCCGACTTCTTTGAGGATGATGTCAACTATTACATCGAAATGGTGCCACATGGGCTGCCCGGCATGGATCTCTTCGACTACATAGAGCTGAGAGTGAATATGGAGGAACTGGAATGCCGCAACATCTTCATCCAGGTCGCCGAAGCCATACATCATCTCCATACCAGAGCAAAGGTTGTGCATCGTGACATCAAGGACGAGAATGTCATTCTCGATGGCGAAGGCAACATCAAGCTCATCGACTTTGGAAGCGCAGCATATATCAAGAATGGACCCTTTGACGTCTTTGTCGGGACCATAGGTAAGCACGACCTGTCTCATATAACTCCATAGTATCTACCAAGGGTCTTACAGCAAATCAGCACTAACACAGTTACAGATTACGCTGCGCCAGAAGTCCTTGCCGGTAAATCTTACCGAGGCAAAGAGCAAGATGTGTGGGCCCTCGGCATTCTCTTATACACCATCGTCTACAAGGAAAACCCATTCTATAGCATCGACGAGATCATGGATCACGATCTGCGCGTTCCGTACGTGATGAGCAACGAGAGCATCGACCTCATCCGCAAGATGCTGAACCGCGACGTCGACAATCGCATCACCATTGGCCAGGTGCTAGAACATCCGTGGTGCCACATGCAGATTGAGAAATAGACCACGCAACGCAACGCACCGCACCGTATACACAGAGGCAAGCGGCTTCACTATGCCTGATGCTGTGAAGCGCAGCTGAATTGTTCAAGAGGGCAAATATCATGCCTCGCCACGACCGACTTACCATCTCATTACATCAGTGTGTAATCCTCGGACACTTTTTTTTTCTTCTTTCGAAACCTCGGCAGATATCTTGTTTCCGTAATAGGCTTTGGCGCAAATCACGCATTCCCAGTTTTTTTTTTGTCTTAGTTTGGCCGTTTCTTGTCTCCAAGCAGGCTTTTTTCTTTGTATTCGGAACAACACGTTGTCACTCGCATATAGACGGGACGTCTTTTGCCTCGCTGGCTGCTTCTTTGACACAAGCAGCAGGCGCCGCGGAGACTGGTCATTATACATACTAGCATTGTTCTATCCCCCCCGCCCTCCGAATCGACTGCCTCCCCCCCTCCCTCTTTGTCGCCATCTTTGTCAGTTTTGTAATTTGGGCGTCACGGCTTAGTGTGTGTGTGTCTGTGGATGTGTGTTTCAGGAAAGGAATAAAGAAAGGACAGGACAGGACAGGGCAGGACAAGGGTATATTGGTGGGGTGTTGAACAAAGCGCGCCGCTTTCTTTTCCTTTGGATTTGATGGTCTATTTTTTCTTTTTTTGTTCGTTTTTTTTTTTGTCTTTTGTGCATTCGGCGTGCGTTTTGGGTGGGGTTTGCATGCTGCTGTGCTGTGCTGGGGGATTTGATGTGGGAGGATGGGTGTGGATATGGGTATGGATGATGATGGATGGTAGATGGCCATGGTGGAGGGAAAGGAGAGGGGGAAGGGAAAGGGGAAAGGGTGAAGGGATTATCTCAGAGTAGCTATGTAGAAATGGAGAGAGTGGTGATGTAGACTGTGTGTTGTATTGACACTGTGTGTGTGTGTGTGTGTGTTTGTGCGTTTGTGTGCGTGTGTGTTTGTGTGCGTGTGCGTTTGTGTGTGTGTATGTATATCTATCTTGCCGCATAATGCTCCCTCCCTCGCTCGCTCTATAGTAAATAAATACTTTAATCAGTCCCAGTGCAGTACGTACAGCTCTAAACCTACTCCTCTCTCTCTCCCTCTCTCTCCCCCTCTCTCCCTCTCTCTCTCTCTCTCTCTCTCTCTCTCTCTCTCTCTAAAGACAGAATAGAAGAAGAAATTCCTTTTTTAGTACAAAAGTAATAACAGGTCCTTATAAATCTCCTACGAAGATGTCGGTCTATATATATATGAAAAAATAGTCTATATATATATAAGCTAGTATAGTGTTTAGATACTCTATAGAGGTAGATAGGTAGGTAGATAGGTAGGTAGGTAAGTAGATGAGAGATTTTGATAGAATCCCCCAATTAGGGGTAAAAGAAAAGAAAAAAAAAAAAGAGTTAAGAAAATCAAAAGTGCCAAGAGAGAGAGTCAAAGGGTTCTAAGAAGAATACAAAAAGTCGGATCTCCAGTCTGTGCTCATTCCGATACTTTTGTTGTAGTAGCAGTCGGGCCTGTAACTCCGCACTTCCTTCACCACCAGACCACCGCCGCGCCCGGAGGAGACGGACTGTACAAATTCCGGCTGCTCCCACGCGGGTACGTACGAGGACAGACCGCGGGCACGATACTTGAGGAACGACTCTCTGTTCGAGACCCAGTCCTCTGCGTAGACAAAGGCCTCGCCGAGTGCGGCCAGGGCGAGGCCCAGGGCCGATACGGTGAAGACGGGCAGGTGCGGGATGAGGGCGCGCTGCTCTGCCAGGCGGTCGGCGAGGAAGCGGCAGAGGTAGAGGGCTATGTTGCGCGTTAGGTTTACGGCGGATCGGTCGAGCGGCGGTGCTTGTTCGGTTTTGAATATGGCGTGGACGGTGAAGGTGCGTTTGGTGGGGTTGGGGGTGATGTTGGTGGATTTGGGGTTAGATTCGGGTTGTGTGGGTGGTGGGAGGGGCCCTAGGTCGATGGCAAAATGGACATAATGGGAAACGACCAAACGGCGTAGCAACCAAAGGTAGTCCTCATCGACTGTGATAGTATTCATAAAGAGTACATGAATTCTGCGGAACAAGACGGGGGTTTCAGGTTTGTATTTTGTTACGTCCATGTAGTTCGCGGCGTAGGAGCCACTGGCCACCAGCCCGAGACAGAGTACGGTGTTGTTCTGGAAAAGGGGAGTGAATTCGGTGGAGATTTGGCGGCAGACTTTCCCTAGTGGAGGCTGGAAGGATGCTCGATTGACGAGCATTTTGAAGAGCCGGTTCTGGAAGTCGCATGCGTACTGGCAGAGCTCGTCACCTTCATTTATTACTATGGGCACGTCTTCATGTTCGGGTGGGTATAGGCAAGACTGGGTGTAGTAGAAGTAGCTGCGATTGCGGAGCTCAGGTGGTAGGCCGAGGAAGTCGAAGGTAAGAGGCTGCTTCGAGGGTGTTTCTGGCGGTGGTGACGGACCTCTTTGGCATGGAGATGAGGGGCTTATATCGGTGTTGTCAGTGCTGGAGGAGTCGATAGAGAGAGGCATGGTAGACAGGCTGGATGACTGTTCGTCGATGGTTGTTGAAGGTGAAGGTGAAAGTGAGGAGCGGACTTCGGCCAGGCTAAGGTACAGTTTACAGTGCCACACAGGGCATTGCGAACCGGTTTCCAGAAATGAAAACGAGTAAGCAAATGTATTGCCTTGAATATGTCGGACAATGAAGTTGCATATTTCCTGTTAGCCTGTTTCGAAGGTGGGTGGCGCATATTCCCATTGTTCAGACATGGAAGTAGGCATGTTCGGTTGCGGAATGTGACGTGATGCTGTCTGTACTTTTTTGGGCTGCCAGTCCTTTCTGGAAAGTTTCGTGATGAGTATCCCCGTCGTCGCCTACACTCTCATCCTCGTTCGGGCATGGTGTGTCTCTTCATGGTGGATGTATAGAGATGTGGATTACTGATTGACTGCTCATGGCTTATGTGGCCAAGAGCGTAGTACGATGTTAGGTTGCAGTGACTTCGCAGTCACAAGTGCAGTGGTTTTCAAGTCAAACGATTGCCACGATGCAGAGTGAACAGATAGGTAGAGGTAGGTAGAGGTAGGTAGAAGGTAGGTATGTAGGTAGTAGGAAAAGAGGCAAGAGGTTGAGGTTGATATGGAAGGGTGCCTGAGGCGTCAATGGGTAACAGTCACGTGCAGGATGGGATATACCAATGCAGGTGAGGCGGTGTCAAGGGTCAGGCCACCACCCCGGAAAGGCACAGGGATGATGCATGGTGAGTCTCGATGATGCATGGTGAGTCTCAGTCAGGGTCCATGATGATGGTAATGATAATGACGAATGAATGAATGATAGGCTCACATCTCGAGCGTGATCAATATAGGAATGTTATAGTAACGGACTCTGACACTCCAATAATATGTGAGGGTGGAAATATGAAATTGGGAATATATGGTATGGGTGTCACGAGATCTGGTGGCGGATGCAGCAGCAGCATCATCGGTGAAGGAGGAGAGAGGAAAGACAAAGTGACAGCTGGACGGTCCGGGGTGACGGGGATCAGGCAGCATATTTGCAGTGTCAGGCAGAGAGATCAGGCAGGAAGTCAGGCACATGCGCATACACACTAAATTGATTGACACTAGTAATAATAATAGTAGGGCACACGCGAGAGCTTAATGCAGGATTACTCTAGTCCCTTAACGTCGTTCACCCAATATCCATCACTAAAAGGACAGCTGTTCGCAACTCATGTTGTTGTCGCAGTGCTGCCTGGCAGTAGAATCATGTCTTGAGAGAGGAATAGTTGATGAACAACAACAACAACAACAACAACAACAACAACAACAACAACAACAACAACAACAACAACAACAACAACAACAACAACGTGGCCATTCACTCACTCACTCACACATGTCACACACACACCCTCACCCTCATTCTTACGCCCATTTGCAGCACGTGGAATCTCACCAGTCGGTGGTGAAGGAAAAAAATGCAAATGTCGGCGAAGCGGGAGTCTAAGCCCAAAGTAGACTGGTGTATCTGATCCTGACGCAGCTGATTGGTCTACCGGGACAGGGGTGGTATCGAGTGGGCTTTGCGGGTGAGATTTATAAAGAGAAAGAGAAAGCGCCGCCCGCCGCACACCAAGAGAAGAAGGAGAGAAATCATCAATCCACCCACACCCACACCCACACATCCACTCCTGCACCTGCTGCACCTGGACCGACCGACGGACGGACCTGCACCACCAACCATCACTACTACCACTACTACCACTACTACCACTACTACCACTACTACCACTACTACCACTACTACCACTACTCGCACTACTACTACTACTACCACCGCTACTAGGTACTCCTCCTCCTACTACTGCTACTACTCCTCCTACCAACAACTGCCACTACTCCCTACTACCACTGCCACCACCTCCACCTCCACCTCCACCCACCCCAGTTCTGCCGCACTTCTCCCGGCGCATCACCACTTACCTACTACCTAGCTGCTCCTAATACCCTCCTCCATTTACCCTCTCGACTCGACTACGCGACGCGACGCGACAAGACATACTCCCCTTTCTTTTCTTCCCTTTTCTCTCCTCTTTTTTTCGTTTCCCTTGCGTCGTCGTGTCTTTCGCATGGTGTTTCTTGTTGGGATTCTGATGCATGTTTAACGACTATTGTGCTTCCAACTTCTCTCTTTGCACCCTCCTCCTCACAACCATTCGTGACGCTGCGACACTCATCTCTGCTGTTCGCTGTTCGCTGTTCGTCTTTCTCCAAGTCGCGCGCCCATCTTGCTCAACACTTTCCAGCCGTACACATGTCGCTGCTGCATGCTTGCAAGTGACTGTTTAAAACCATCGCCGCCAGTCCAGGCTACGTACGCGACGCGTGTGGCTTCCGTGGTAGAGGATGGCTTCAAGGTGCGTGTTACATGCTAGCTCTGCCGCTTCGTCTTGGCTCTACGCTAATCCTAATATAGACTAGATCGTCTTGTCACGTGAGTCTATCCACCCCAGGCTTTTGTCTTGACCCTGACATACCCTGCCTGACATACCCTTGACTCCAATCCATGCCTTGCTGTCTTACTAACCACTCTGCAGACTTCTAGAGACCGGTAGTACTCCACTCATTCGCAACACTGCGGCCCAGCAACTTGCAGATGTCCAGAAGCAGCACCCAGATGAGCTGTTCAATCTTCTGACCAGAGTCATCCCATATCTCCGGTCCAAGAACTGGGACACCCGGACTGCTGCTGCCAAGGCAATCGGCGGCATCGTTGACAATGCCGAAAAGTTCGACCCCAATGCTGACGATGGCGACTCGACGACGAAGCACGAGAGCAATGGCTCCAATGGATCAACCATCAAAAAAGACGAGGACGAAGCATCCTTGCCCCTGTCCGACGATCAGCTCCAGCTCAGTACCCTCGACTGTCAGTCCATTCTAAAGTTTGGCAAGCCTCTGCTCGGTAGTGCTGGCAAGGAATATGACATCAAGCTCGCCGCCATGGACCCTGCACAACGCCTGGCCCATCAAAAGAAGAGTCTGACTTCGCGATTGGGTCTTGGTGGCGAGTACAACGAGGAAGAGCTCATCACAGAGACCGATATTGCGATGCAGACACCTGCCATTCCCAGACTCGACACCTCAATCTCAAGGCAAGACAGCATCTCAAAACCCGACGGAGGGAGCTCTCCTACCCCTGCCTTGGCTACCCCAATAGACGAAAATGGCAACTCACTAAGCAAGCGGCAACTGAACATGCTCAAGCGAAAGGCTAAAAAGGACTTGCACCAGCAAGCAAACAAAGTACAGGTCATGGATCTAGGGCCGCGCAAGATGGCGTCGGACACGCCGCAAACGCCGGCCAGCTCGCACGCCGCCACCCCTCATCCCGTGAAACAGGAGATTAAGCGCGAAGACAGCGAGGATGATCCCAAAGATATCAGCGACTACTTTACCCTAGACAGGAAAGGTGGTGATGACGACTCCAAACTCGTTGCCGAATTCAAGGGTCTCCCTCCTCCAGAGAAGTCGACTATCCAGACTGAAGCAGAAGAGCGAGGCGACGAGTGGCCATACGAACGCTTGTGCGAAATCCTGACCGTGGACCTCTTTGACCAGAACTGGGAGATCCGGCACGGTGCAGCGATGGGCTTGAGAGAAGTTCTTCGTGTTCATGGTGCGGGCGCGGGACGTCGGCAGGCCAAGTCAAGGTCGCAGAACGACATCCTCAACCAGAGATGGCTGGACGATCTGGCCTGCCGCATCTGCTGCGTCTTCATGTTGGACCGGTTTGGCGACTATGTTTCTGACAACGTCGTGGCCCCTATTCGAGAGACTGTCGGTCAGACTCTGGGTTCCCTGGCTCAATATCTGTCGCTTGCATCGGTCAAGGGAGTCTACAAGATTCTATACAGTCTTGTCATGGAAGAGAAAACCAAGGACACGATGCGTATCTGGCAGGCCTCGCATGGCGGCATGATTGGGATGCGTTATCTCGTCGCCGTGCGTGCCGATCTCTTGCTCGAGGATGCTGAGCTTGTCGATGGTATCCTGGCGGCCGTCATGAGAGGCCTGAGCGACTTTGACGATGATGTGAGGGCCGTGGGTGCAGCGACGTTGATCCCTGTCGCCAGGGAATTCGTCACACTGCGTCCTCATAAGCTCGACAGCTTGATACACGTTGTCTGGGAATGCCTCTCGAATCTCAGCGACGACTTGAGCGCCAGTACTGGCTCGGTCATGGATCTTCTCGCCAAGCTGTGTAGTTTCCCAGAAGTATTGCTCGCGATGAAGAAGAACGCCGCCGAGGACGAGGAACAGTCTTTTGCAGAACTCGTGCCACGATTATATCCCTTTCTCCGCCACACCATCACGAGCGTACGATCGGCAGTGCTCCGTGCTCTACTTACATTCTTGGACATTGAAGGTCAGGGCACCACTGGATGGATTAATGCAAAGGCACTTCGTCTGATATACCAGAACTTGCTGGTAGAGCGGAACGAGCCAGTCCTCAAGCTATCGCTCCAGGTCTGGACAGCTCTTGTTGATGCTCTGTCTGCGCAAGGGCCTGAAGTATTTGCCGCAGAGTTTGGGCCCATCATGGATCCTCTCATCCGGCTCACCGTCCATCCCATTGGTGTTTCAAGGCATCCGATACCTATGGAAGCGGCTTTATTCATACGTCCATCCGGTCAGACATTCTCGCTACCTTCCCATCCCTCTGCGCGAAAGACTTCTCCTCCCCCTGAGCCAGTCCCAGCGAAGAGAGGGCGGAAGAAGTCGTCCAAGGGAAAAGACGAGCCATCACCTCCAGAATCTCGCCACAACATTGATGGACCGATGATCCAAGGTGACGTTGACCTTGTTGGTGTAGATGTCTTGATCCGCTCCAAGATCGTGTCCGCTCAAGCCTTGGGTAAAGCCATGGCCGTGTGGCCTGCCGCATCGCGCTTTGAAGCCTTCTCCAAAGCCGTAATACCGCATCTGAAGTCGTCAAAGTCCAGCACCCAACTCATCGCCGCCATGATTACAGAAGAATACGGAAGAGCCATGTCGCAAGCAGATGACCTTTCGAGAGCGTTTGCGGATGAACTCCGGCCCATGATCGAGGACGAGCGTCCAGTCTACTACGAGGATCTTACCAGCTATCTCCACGTCCTGCGTGCGCAATGCCAATCCCTCCTCAACACCTTTGTGGAGCAAGGGAAGATTAAATCTCCACCTATGATTGCTGCCGTTGTTCAAGGCGATCCAGCTGCTAATCCGAAATTTGCCTTTGGAGTCGCCGACGGCGAAAAGCTTGCCGGGCCAGACTGGGATAGGCTTTTCAAGAGTATGGCTCCTGGCGCTCGTATGACCGCCCAAGCCTCTCTCAAGACCGCGCGTGAGGAGGTCCTGATCGCCTCGAAGGATGCACGGAAGGTCAAAGAAATTCGTGATACCAGGATTAGGGCAGCCGCAGCCTCTGCAGTCGTCGCACTTCAAGCTGTTCCAAAGAAGCCCGCGCTAACAATCAGGGGCATGATGGACAGTGTCAAAAAAGAGGAAAACGTGGAATTGCAGAAGCGGTCTGCTGCTGCCATTGCCAAGATGATCCAACATGTTGCTGAGACCGGCAAACGTGTCATTGTGGAGAAGGTTGTGGGCAACCTTGTCAAGTTCTATTGCATGGAGACAGCCGAGACGCCCGAGTTCCACCCCAATGCAGACATCGGCGGTGGTATTCTATCCCTGAGGAAAGAAGAGGACATTCGCGATCACCCAGACCAGGTCGCCTTTGAACTCGCCGCGAAGGAAGCTAGAATCACACGCAGAGGTGCCAGAGAGGCTCTGGAGCAACTCGTCGGAAACTACGGCGGTGACTTGTTCAATAAGATCCCTATATTGCGGACGCTGATCGAGTCCCCGATCCACCAGACCTTCTCTGGAGCCGATCTACCAGCCGACATTGCAGATAGTGGTTCAACACTCGGCCAGGAAACTGTCGATGGCCTCTCTACCTTGCGAGCTCTGATTGGCAAATTCCATCCGGACCTTTATGGCTTCGTCAAAGAACTCCTACCGCTCATCACAAAGGCTCTGCAATCGAGACTGGCCGTTCTGAGATATGCAGCAGCGAAATGCTTCGCCACAATATGCAGCGTCATGACCGTGGACGCCATTACGATGCTCGTGGAGAAGGTGTTGCCTTCCATCAGCAATCCAGTTGACCTTCACTGTCGGCAGGGCTCGATTGAATGCGTGTACCACTTAATCCATGTCATGGAGGATGGCATACTTCCATACGTCATATTCCTCATAGTTCCTGTCCTCGGTCGCATGAGTGATGCAGACAACGATGTCCGTCTTATTGCAACAACCACGTTCGCCACATTGGTGAAGCTCGTTCCGCTCGAAGCCGGAATCCCGGATCCACCGGGACTGTCCGAAGAACTGCTCAAGGGTCGGGAGAAGGAGCGAAAGTTCATTGCACAGATGCTCGACGCGAAGAAGGTCGAGCCTTTTGAGGTTCCTGTCGCAATCAAGGCAGAGCTTCGTTCTTACCAGCAAGAAGGTGTCAATTGGCTGGCCTTCCTAAACAGATATCACCTACATGGCATTCTTTGCGATGACATGGGGCTTGGCAAAACGCTACAAACACTTTGTATGGTGGCCAGCGATCATCACATGCGGGCGGAAGAGCACGCCAAAACACAGTCGCCCGATTCCAGGCGTCTGCCCACCCTCATCATCTGCCCACCGACCCTGTCCGGGCATTGGCAACAAGAAATCAAGACGTATGCGCCCTTCCTCACTGCGGCTGCTTATGTTGGACCGCCGGTTGAGCGTGCCAAGGTGCGGTCAAGACTGCAATCCGTGGATATCGTCATTACGTCGTACGAGATTGCTCGCAATGATAGCGATGTGCTGCGACCGCTTCAATGGAACTATCTCGTGCTTGACGAAGGCCATCTGATCAAGAATTCGAAAGCAAAGACGACCGTTGCTGTCAAGCAACTCGCCAGTAATCATCGGCTGATCCTCTCCGGCACGCCTATCCAGAACAACGTGCTGGAGCTCTGGTCACTATTCGACTTCCTGATGCCCGGCTTTCTCGGAACTGAAAAGGTGTTCCAAGACCGCTTCGCCAAACCCATCGCCGCCAGCAGATTCAGCAAGTCGTCCTCCAAAGAACAAGAAGCCGGCGCGCTCGCGATTGAAGCCCTGCACAAACAAGTCCTCCCGTTCCTGCTCCGCCGCCTCAAAGAAGAAGTCCTCAACGACCTGCCGCCCAAGATCCTCCAAAACTACTACTGCGACTTGTCTGACCTGCAAAAGCGCCTCTTCGAAAACTTCACCAAGACACAAGGCAAGGCTATTGCCGAACAGGCCAGCGCGTCGGACAAAGAGGCCAAGAAACACATCTTCCAGGCCCTGCAATACATGCGCAAGCTCTGCAACTCGCCGGCCTTTGTCATGAAGGAGGGCCACAAAGACTATGCCCAAACACAAGCATACCTGCGCGCCCAAGGCACCACGTTGAAAGACCCCGTGCACGCACCCAAGCTGATGGCACTGCGAGACTTGCTTGTCGACTGCGGCATCGGCGCGCCCTCGTCCGACCCCACGCACGGCGTCACCGACATTCCTTCCGCCAGCTCCGCCGTGTCCCAGCACCGCGCGCTCATCTTCTGCCAGATGAAGGAAATGCTCGACATGGTGCAGAGCGAAGTGCTCGCCAAACTGCTGCCATCCGTGCAATTCCTGCGCATGGACGGCTCGGTCGAGTCCTCGAAGCGGCAAGACATTGTGAATAAATTCAACAGCGACCCGAGCTATGATGTGTTGCTGCTGACGACGAGCGTGGGTGGGCTGGGGCTGAACCTGACGGGGGCAGACACGGTTATCTTTGTGGAGCACGACTGGAATCCGCAGAAGGACATGCAGGCCATGGACCGGGCGCATCGCATCGGCCAGAAGAAGGTCGTGAACGTGTACCGGATCGTGACGCGCGGGACGCTGGAGGAGAAGATTTTGAGGTAGGTCCCCTCTGCTTGCTTGCCCTATGACGTACCCCATTCACTAACAACCCATGCAGCCTCCAACGCTTCAAGATCGACGTCGCCTCCACCGTCGTCAACCAGCAAAACGCCGGCCTCGGCACCATGGAAACAGACCAGATCCTCGACCTCTTCAACATCTCCACCGACTCCTCCGCCGACGGCCCGGCCGCCTACCAGAACCAGCAGGACAGTGATGGTGCGCTCGTCAACGCCGAAGACGCCGTTGACGCCACGGGCGAGCTGCGCGAGAAGGGCAAGAAGGGCTTTCTCGATGAGATTGGCGAGTTGTGGGATGAGAGGCAGTATGAGGAGGAGTTTAACCTGGATGGGTTTTTGAAGGGGATGAAGTAGGGTGGGCTTGAAGTAGGGTGGGCTTGTAGTGGGGTGTTTAGGGTGTTCTTTGGGGGGGAGTGGAGGGCTTGCTTGCTTTGGACGTGCGTTCGTGCGTGTGTGTGTGTATGCATGTATGTATGGATTTGTGGACGGATGGATTGGGGGGTTTGTGGGTGTATGATATGAATAGGGGAACGTGATGTGTGTTGCGTAAACAGTAGCATAGCGATGGATGGATGGATGGATGGATGAATGCACCGCGACATGCGGGATTGCGTGTATATATATATATAGTGAACAAACTCACACAAGTTTTCATCTCCCAGCATGAGGTGTGTACATTTTGTGCTGTGCCCGTGTAGTATGCGTGTGTTCTGTATCCAACTATCCATGCTACTACCATACTCTTCCTTCCCGTCTGACGCATACTCGAAGTGTCATACATCCCAAGTCCACACATATGCCCCTCTCAACCACCCCAAAACCTAAACCGCAAACTCCTGCTTCTCCACCCCCACCCCACCAGCAACACTACCCTTCCTCCCAAACGCCCCCACAACCCCCTCATCCAACCCCCCCTCCTCAAAAACATCCACCACCGCCCCCCTAAACCCCCTCGCACTAACCCCCTTTTCAAAAAGCAAATCCAACTCAGCAAACGACCGTCCACTCGGCTCCGGAATGCGAAAATACGCATAAACCACACAAAGCGCGCAGGACCCCGCCCAGAAAAAGCCCGCATAGTTGCGCCAGTTCCAGGCGCCGGGGTTGAGCATATAGGGGGTCAGAATGTTGCAGATGATGGAGATGACGTTGTAGGCTGCGCGGCCGAGCGCGACGGTCTTGATGGCGAGGCGGCGGGTGGAGAGCTCTGCGACGAGGGAGTAGCAGACTGTGCCGACTGTGAGTTGGTAGATTGCGGCCCAGAGGATCATTAGGGAGCCTGTTGCTAGGGAGGCGCGGGGGCGGTGGGCAGAGGGGATGAGGGCTAGGAAGCCGATTGTTGTTAGGATGGTGGTGAGGCCTGCGAGACCGGCGATGTAGAGCGTTCGACGGCCGATGCCGCGGCTCATGAGGGCCCAAGCCGCGAAGACGCCGGCCATGTTGATGGCGTACTGGCCGAGGGCGAAGGAGTAGGAAGTGGATTGGTCGAGGCCGGACTGGAGGAGGAAGTAGGTTGAGAAGCCGGAGAAGGAGTTGCCGGAGAGGTTCTGGATGGCCCAGCACATGGCGATGATTTCGGTGCGGCGCAGGTCGGTGCCGCGGAAGCAGTCTGTGTAGGAGGCGCCGGCGGTGAGGCGGGCTTCGAGCGCGGTGGTGTGGGCCATCATGGCGATTGTTTCGTCGGGGTTGAAGGAGGGGAGGCGCGCCGGGCTGGTGAGGCGGAGGAGGGCGGCTTTGGCGTCGGCGAGGCGGTGCTTGCGGACGAGCCACCAGGGGGATTCGGGGGCGAAGAAGACGCCTATGAGGAGCGGGATGGGCCACATCCATTGGAGGGCCTGTGTTTGGGGGGAGGAGGTTTAGTGTTGGGTTTGAGAAGAGGAAAGGGGGTGGGAAAAGAAAGGGGGGACTTACGTATGGGATGCGGTAGGACCACTCGTCGTCGCGGGTGGAGAGGGATTTGATGACGCCTACGCCGATGACCTGGCCGAGGCCCCAGCAGAAGTTGACGTAGGTGGTGAGGTAGCCGCGGAGGGCGACGGGGCAGACCTCGGAGGCGTAGGTGATGGTGAGGGCCTGGAAGACGCCCCAGGGGATGCCGGCGATGATTTCGGCAACGAGCAGCTGCTCGATGGTGGTGGCGGTGAAGAAGATGGCGGTGAAGGCGAGGATGAGGGTGAGGCAGGCCATGACGGTGTAGCGGTATCCGAAGCGCTCGGAGACGTAGCCGTTGATGAGCAGGCCGATGATTTCGCCGGCCACGACGCCGTTGGTCAGGCCGGCCTGCCACGGCGCCGTGATTTCGTACTTGCCCGCGTCCGGGCCGGAGGTGAGCGGCTGCCCGAACTGCCGCTTGAACGGGTCGAGCGCGAAGAAGTTGTTGAGGAGGCAGAGGTCGTAGGCTTCCATGGCGATGCAGGTTGAGATGAGCATGCTCCACGCGACGGCCTTGGGATACAGCTTGATGCCCTGCATGAGCGTCATGTTGTGCTCGTTGTCGGTGGCGGCGCGGGCGCCGTCGACCATGAGGTCCCTGGCCTTGTCATTGGAAGTGACGGGATGCTCCTGGGGCACAATGGCCTCTCCAGTCTTGGTCGTCGTCGTTGTTGTCGTCGCCATGCTGAGGCTGCTTGCAACGGCGGCTTGACTTGAAGGGCTGAGGTACAGTCCAGGGCCAGCGCAGGACCTTTGAGCAGGACCTGTTGGTGGGGGGGCGTCAGGTAGGATTTATAGAGCGAATGCAGAGTTGCAGATCCTGAATGCGGGGGGAACCCACGGGGAAGCGCAGCCTTGTCGCTCTTTGCCCTGGGACAACGAGTCGCGAGCGTCCCAATTGCCGACGGCGTAAGACGGGAGTCTAGGGGAGGAGACTTGGAGTCTAGAAGCCTGGGATGGGCGCTTATCAGAAGCCTGACGAGACGTAGGTGGTGTTTTGTTCGGTGGTGGGGTGCAAAAGGTGGTGATGTTCGGCAATTGAGTGGTAGTCGGCTCCTCCTTGCTTAGCATGGAAGACGATGCTTAAGACGGCCTTATTGGATTGAAAGATGAAACTGAATGCTCGACTGTCGACTCTGCGTTTCTTGTCTCTCGTCTTCAAGTTGTACCTCGTCTCGTCTCGTCAGACGTCAATTTCGCTTCCGGGCAGAGGCGGCGTCGCGTGACCCGTGACCCGTGACCGTGACCCGCCGTGTGGGCCCTTCGACCCGGATTTCCCGGCCGAGCTTGCGGTTGTTGCGTTTTGCACGTGTCACCGTCCATCCACAGTAGTTTTGACAGCTTTCAACCACAACTTTTGACATGACTTTCCTCGAATAGTTCTTCCTGTGCCGAAACAAGTAGTCACTGAGCTGCCCCTGACTCGAGATAATACGAGGGATTTACGATGAGATTCAAACACCGCGGACGGCCATTGTGTCGGCAAATGGTGCGGGGAACGGGCCGATTCGTGGCGGTGACGCTGAACATTCGATGCATTTGTTGTTGACTTGTACCGTCTGAGTATCGTGTGCCGTGTCTGATGTGCATGATCTGGGGTGGGGGTTTTGGCTGCACTACTGGAAGTCTGGGGTGTCAGTGGAGTTGATGTTGTGGTTGTGATTGTGGTCTGGACTCTACAAGATACATGCGATGTTGACTTCATGGACTGAGAAATACGCTGCTCACAGTACTGTCTGGACCGGAGGTTGACATTGACTTGTGGCTTGTAGCTGTGGCTGAAGCATGTGGCTGAAGCATGTGGCTTGCGCCCGATGTTGATACCACAAATCGTGGCATCCAAGTCTTCGACGATGCAAAACCAAACATTGGAATGGCCTCGCACTCTCTCACCCGCCCAACTGCTCGATCATGGATACACTCCAGCACCTCTCTCCGCCCAAGTGTGTGCTCCTCGCCATACGCTATGCCTCCGATGCCAACATACCTGCCCTTCGAGCCGTCGTTCGCGCACGTCATACCGACCTGAGTACCCCCCTCGTCCTGCGCATCATCCTCACATACCTCCCCGAGAGCATTGATCCCTCCGCCTATGTCCCGCTCTGCTCAGAGTTGATATCCGGCCAGTTCGACACCGACTCCACCGCCGGGGACCTTGACTTCTCGGCGTTGAATGGCGTCTCCGACAAAAAAGCACGATCCAAGGTTAACAAGGCTCAACTGCTTCCACTACCACATTATGCATATACACACGAGGGCACGGATGACTTGACAAACTTCCTCATCCATCGCGCGCATCGCATTCACTCAGAAACCGGCCTCTTCGACCTCGTCCCGAAGCTCGTTGCGCCCTTCCTCGAGTACTCACAGTACCTGAAAACATGGTTCATATCCGCCTGCCTCCCTCTCCTTCGCCAGGAGTACGAATACTACCCAGATCACGCGGTCGAATCCTCCCTCGACTCGTTTGTGACCCTTGGAGGCACCAAAGCTATCAACCTCTTGCTTTCGCGCGCTCTCAAGCCTAAGCCTGGGCCCACCCGTGCCGAAGCTCCGAACAACATCGCAAGAGATATCCGTGGCCTCGTCGGTCCATGGGTGTATGGATCATCGGACCGTAAACGGCGGAAGATTACCAACGACCAGCATCGTCATGCCATTTCTGCAGGCAGAGACGACGGCGATTCGTCCAGTCTTGACACCGCGCAAGCTCAAGATTGGGACTACGCATTCAAGTGGCTGGTCGAGCAGGCTGCAGCGAACTTCACTGTCGTCATAGCGGGCATAGAAGAGTGGGACGGCCCGGGAGACGTGGACCTAGGGGGCTACGAGCAGTCCCCGCATTACTTGACCGAAGACTCACAGAGACAACTGGAACAGCGGTATGCGCAGGCTGCCTTTGCAACCGCGTATGCTGTCGAAGCCGACACTGCCGACACCATCTCTGGCGCACATTCACTGCTCGTGCGACTGGCAAGTCTGATGGACTTTGAGCCCCCGCCTGATCTTGCCACAAGTGTTGAAATGCTGCCCAAAATCGAAGACGCCACCTCTATCATGCACAACACGTCACCAAAGGCGCTTTCGCCTGATTCCTTGTTGGATAAGGAGCACCCGCTCACTTCTCCCAATATCAAGACCTTTGCGCTCCTGCAGATTTTCATCTACTCGGCATACACCCTGGCCAATCTCGGCTATAGTATGTCCATCAAGAATGTCGCCCATATGCGTTTCCACAGTGAAGAAGATGAGCAAACTCAAATGCTGCAGAAGATCCTGCACGGCGCGGGCGAGATTGTGGGCAAAGAGAGCCACAAGTGGAGTCACAAGTGGGAAGTCCTGAGGAAACAGCTGATCTGGCTCTGGAACTGGGGTCTGGTCGGTCAGAAGGATGCAATACAAGAAGGATTCGGCATCTTTGGGAAGATCAAACGGGAGAATTTCGAACGGGAGATCCTGAGGGCCTTTCTGAATGGAGGACGTAAGTGACCCCTGCCACTTCCGAATATTGCTTGATTCAGGCAGCAATCTAGGGGCGAATGAATGCTGACTGTGACTAAAAGAATATGAGCTTGTGCTTACGACATATGTCAAACAACCCCGAGAACAGACACTTTCGTTGGGCGACGTTGAAAATGTCATCTTAGAAGTCGCTCTGCAGTACTACGACACCGCCAGCAATGGAAATCGCACGAGAGGCAACATGAAGAAAGTCTCTACAATGTGAGTCCTAGATCTACTTGGCATATAAAGGGTTAAATCTAATTGCTGCATAGAATCGCTACCTTCCAGCCCCACTTCCCAAGATCAGATGCCTTCAAACGGACAGAAGCTCTCCTCTCTGCGACACACTCCCTGTCCTTTTACTCCTTGACCCAACAGCGAGGCGTTCCTTTCCAGCCAGTTAGCATACGCATTCGAAGTGACCCCCTGTCCCTCATCAACGACCTCCTCGAGCAGAATCCCTCATCGTACACCAAGCTAGACGACCTTATGGAGATCGGCTGCAACCTCATCGCCGCTGGTGTTGGTGCAGCCCCTGATTCTCTCTCTCCATCTCAATCCTCCTCAATATCCGCACAAAAAGAAGCCACCGAGCAGCGGGTTCTCGGCATGACAATCGAGGCATCCCTTCGCGAAGACGACTTCGAAACCGCCTACTCCTATGTCGTCAACCGCATGCCCGGCGTCTCCACCCCCGACCCCACAAACGCAGACACAAACACCGGATCCACCAAAGACACATCCTCCTGGCGCGCCGCCTTCATAGCCGGCCGCCACTCCACCCCATCCTCCTCAGCCACCCTCACATCCTCAGCCCACCTCCGCCGCCTTGAACAACGCATGGACCTCCTCTCGCAATCCCTCCTAGCCGCACCACCCTCCGCCCTAGCCGAAATCCTATCCGTCTACATGGAAGTCGAAGCCGAAATGAACGAATGCCTCGCCCGCGAGCAGGCCGAGGAAGAGAGCTGGGACGACCACGCTGACCACCGGCTCCCCGGCGCCTTTGCCGAGAGCGTGCACATCCAGCCGCGCAGAGAGGTGGGCAGAGGCGCCGTCGAAGAGGCGCCAATGGGCCTCTTTGATGTGGCCAGGGGTGCCGCGGCCGCGTTTTCGCGCACGGCGGGCATGGGCGCGAAGCGGGCGGCTGGACAGCAGCAGCAGCAACAGCAGCAGCAACAGGCACATGAGAGAGATATGTCGACGGACAGTGTGGATATGGAGGGCAGCGAGGAGATGAGGGTGAGGAAGCGGGATATGCTTGCGAGTACGGTGACGGGCGGGTCGCGCGCGCTGGCGAGTGGGTTGGGGTGGGTGCTTGGTGCGACGCCCGTTCATGACGAGCAGCCCAGATGATGAGGATGAGATATGATGTGATGTGATGCCGTGCCGTTGTATTGAACTTGGGAAGGGGCAGTGAATGGTTAGCGTTGTGGTCTCGGTGTGTGTGTGGGAACATGTTTATATTAGGTGTAGAATGGGCAATGAGAGAGTGTTGCGTCGTCGTGTGACTTTCTGCTGTCTTCTGTCTGGAGCTTTTTGTCTTTGCACTGCGTCGTCTTCTTCTTCTTCTTCTTCTATGTGTAGTCAGGGCGCTCGATACGGTGTGTTGGGGTATGTTGCTGCATATCGCATTACAACCCATCCCATCTCATCGCCGTACATCACATCCCATTCTGTCCTCCCTCCCACTCAATTCAATCCAATTTTATAAAGAGCCAAACACACTCCCTCGGCCAGATATCATACGTCCACCTAACCAGATATACATCCACCTTATCAGCCATATATCATACCGTGCGCCGCAACCGTAATCATAAGTCATCAGTCATCTCCCGCTATTACTACGTATCGCCATTTATTCTCGATGGTATATATCGACCCTCGACCTCATGTCAAGGTTCGTAGATGATGGACTGTTTTCGTTGTATAAGGTATCAGTAGAGCTCCGCGTGCTTGGCATGGGGGTTAGTACGGGGTTTCGATGTTGGCCGCGGATGTTGGGTGTTGATGGGATTGTTGGTTTTGGGGATGGGTGAGTGAGTGAGTGAGTGAGTGAGATTCCCGTTTCTTCGTTGTTGGGTTTGGGTGTTGGAGTGGATTAGATTGGGGCTTGGAGGAGGTAGGGAGGCAGGTAGGTATGTATGTATGGCGAGGTCGGAATGCGTTTGACGAGAACGCCTGTTTTGGGTGTGAGATGTGCTCTGGTGTGGTTTTATAGATGTTTTTCAAGGGCGTATGGGTCTTTGGGTCGTGGAAGGGGTTGGATGTTGTGCTTGGATGTTGGATGTCTGGTTCGTCGTGTGTGGTGTGGAGTGTCGTGAGGCTCAGTAGTCGTCGAGTTCGAGCGCATCGAGCGACGCCCATCCCAGAAACACTCTCTCCACATCCTCAGCACCAGATTATCCATCCTCGCTCACCCCCTCAACCCCAAAATCCGCCTCCCATCCCTCACCCTCAGCACATCCCGATACGTCAAACTCGTCCTCGTACCCCTCACATTCCTGCCCCCCGCATACGCCCCCCGATCCCCCAAAACATGCCAATTCGCAATCGACGCCTCATTTACATCCTCGTCGACCTCGACAGCCGCGATGCCGTGCAGGTAGTCCGTGTATGCCTCCCCCGTGGTGACGAGCAGGGAGCCAGGTTCCTGGAGGATGCGGTAGAGGGGTTTCCTCTCTCCTTCTACTATGCTGGTTTCGTCTGCACTCCCTTCGCCATCCCCCTTGCCCCAAATCTCAAGCACGACCGCGCCCCCCAGACTAACCGTCGCCACAACGCCCGCGTACGCCGGCCCGTCTTCATGTGGCATGATGCCTTGGCCTGGTGCGTATTCGTTGACCAGGACGTGATTTGGTGCGCCGTGGGCTGTGTTTCTGAAGATGCCTAGTTGGGCTAGACGGGGGAGGATTGGGTCTGTGAGGAAGGGGGGGAGGCGGGTGGTGGTGAGGAGGGTGGATGTGGTGGGTGTGAGGGGGGAGGGCCAGGCTTGGAGGCGGCGGTTGGAGAGGGGGATCCAGTGGGTTTGGGGGAGGGAGGAGAGGAGGGTGGATTGTTCGGTGGGAGTGAGGAAGGTTGGGTGGTAGGTTATGGTTTTGGGGAGGGTGGGGAGGGGTAGGGGGGTGGAGGGAGTGGGAGGGGGAGAGGGCATTTTGGGAGGGTGGTGGTGTTTCTATGTAGATGGTGATGTGGTGTTTTGTGGTTTGCGTTGTGTGTGTTTTACTTGGTTTATGAAGTCGTCAAAATGGATAATACCCTTTTTATAGCCCTCAATGACGAAGTGCTGCCTTGATGCCTGGCGCAGCACCATCACACATCCCTGCCATGTCCGCCTTGTATCCCCACTCCTCCCTCCTAACCCCACTCCATACACTTCCATCTCCAACCCTCCAACCATCTATATCAAACCCCCAACCCAAACCCCCCCCCAAAATCCTCTCCAAAATGCCCAAACCCAAGCCCCAGCCCAAAGACACCAAATCCAGAACAACCACCACCACCACCAATCCCAAATCCAGCAACAAAGGCCTAACAATAATCGACACCCTCGACGCCAAATACGCCAAAGCGCCCAAACTCTGGCACGACGAATACCCGGAGATCAGCGCGCTCAAAGGCGTCCAATCCGCCAAATGCAGCGGCATCTTCACGTCCAAGGAAGGACCCATGCGCAGCGCACTTGAGGAGCTACGTGCTGGGACCGACTGGGCGGCTGTGGTGGAGAAGTACTCGGAGGAGAAGAAGAAGAATGGTATGTCTCCTTCGCTCTTCTGATGTTGTTTTTCTTTGGGAAAGGGGGAGGGGGGGCATTTTGGGATTTTATTTCATTAGGGTCTACAGTACGTAGGTAGAGGTTTTGTAGTGAGTGCTTATATGGTGTGTTGCAGGTGGTGCGTTGGGCGTGATATCCAAGGTGGGCAATATGGCCGAGTTCACCGATGTTGCGCTGTGGTTGCCGGTTAGTCAGGGCGGGAATATGTGGATTGGGACGGCCAAGTCGAAGGAAGGGTATCATATCATCAAGGTCGATGCAAGGTAGAGGAGAAGCTTCCATAAATGAATTGTTACGGTCTCGACTTCGCCCAAACCTTTCTATCTATACAAAGGATCGGGGGGTCTGGTCTGACTTGTAATGGACGTTGCATCATTCGCATGTTGCGCTCGATTCAGTCATGTGCGATTAAATGGATGTACAAGTCCGTATGCAATTTATCTATCTACTAGACCGTAGATACAGATACCCGAAAGATGGCACGCCAAGCTGCATTCGCCAGGCGCCTATACAACGAAAAGAATGCCGTATCCGTAAGCGCCAGCCCAGCGCCGCCATTGTGATCCTCCTTATCAGATCTAAACGCCCGTTGTGCTCTTCGTTCATGCCAACCATACTCAAGAAAATGTTGAGAAAGAAAATGCGACATGTTTGTAGCCATGTGCGTAGGGAGTCTGCGTCTAATACAGACCGACGGGATCGCTGGAAGGACAGGAGGGATAACCAAAGAAAATATATGTGTCGAGAAAACACACCGTGATGTCCCTCACATCATAGAGCAGCCACTGCTGGCCGCAGGTCCACTTCTCGCTCTCCTCCGGCGTCCAGCACCAGGTCCAGTTCCAGAGCCTGCAGCTTCTTCTTCCTCTGCATGTGCTGCCTCCGCACGTCGGGCCCTTCGTCGACGTGCTCGAGTATTCCCACCAGCCGCTGCTTCTTCCTGGTATAACATCCAGTCATGCCATTTTCTCCAGAGCCTTGTGGCCGCGACAAAATCTCCGCGCATCACCCTTTTGGTATGTTCGTCCACTGTTGGCTGCCAATTATAGAAACACTTGAGTCCAATGATCTGGCTCGGGAAGGTCGATTTGCCACCTTGAGTAGTAGCGCGTGTCTCTTGAGCATTGCATGTTAGGATGCAGTTGATGCCGGACCACGTGATATTGGCACAATCATATGCAACTAGGCGCATTCCAATCGTTGGGATATCACCACTATACAGTCCCCGAGCGACCCTATTCCGCGAAGCCATGGTCGCTGCAGCTTCGATGAGCACGAGATCGGTGATACGGGTGTTGTCCATCTCGATTGATGCTAAACGTGGGCAATGCTGAAGAATTGGGAGAACGCCAGTGTCGCTGATGTTCTCGCAATATGAGATGCAGAGATGAGAAAGCTGCTCACGGCCGGGTGCAGCAGCAAGAGCTTGAAGCGAGGCACTTGTCAGTTCCTCGAGTTCTTCGAGGTCGAGGTTGACGAGGCTTGGTAGTGTCGAGAGAACCTCGGATACAGAATCGTCAGTCAGAGAGGAGCACTTGCTCAACAGGAGACTTTCAAGGAATGGGAGATTATGAGCCATGGTCTTGACACCTTTGTCTGTGATTGGGCGGCATCGGCTCAAGTCCAGGTATTTGAGCTTGCGAGGAGGTACAATCGCTCTCTCCGTCAATACATCAATCTCGCTATCGATACCAATCATGAGCGCAGAGAGCGAGTCATCAGTAAGAGAGTCGCAATTATTGAGCACCAGTCGCTCCAGTGTATTGCGCTTGAATATCTCGTGCGTGAGGTCGACATCATCCCATCCACCAGTCTCGCCGGCTCGGAGCTCTTTCAAGTTGGCGCATGACTCGACGACCTTCTTGATGCCTTTGCCATCTATGTTCTGGCACCATGAGACATTCAGCTCCTCGAGCTTGGGGCAGTGTTGGGCAACAATCTTTAGTCCGGCATTTGTCGCAGCTTGAAGGCCGGATAAGTTAATGCTGACAAGACGAGTGTTTTGAAGTAGGAAACAATGCACAGACGCCCGGTCAATCTTACAGCCCTCCAGAGAGAAATTTTCTAGATTTCTGCAGGCATCTGCTAGACCTTTGGAGTTCCATCGTTCGCGAAGTTGTACACAGCCTCGCAGGTTGAGGTCTCGTACGAACGGTCCAGCATTAGTTATTATTTTCACCAAAGAGTCGGCTGGGATATCACGGTAGTATTCAGATGCGTCTAGTCTGCTCCAAAGTTGACCATCGTAGCACATCTTGTGCCAGGACTTGGAGACTGCGGAACACTGGACTATCTCTCTCGGTCGCAGGAAGCGAAAGATTTCCAGACGCACTTCGAACGGCATGTCTTCCCAGAAGTTGAAGTTCGGTCGACGAGGAAAAGGTTTTGAAGCTTTTTGTACCGGCAGGTTAAAGTAGTCCGCTTCGTCGAAGGCGTTCATACGAGCCGAGGCGATTATGTCGGACGGCATAGTAGCGGTTCTTGGTCGATCTGCGGCAAAGAGATGTAGTCTGGGTTTTGTGGACAGCGGGAGCTCTGGACCAGGCGTCCCTGGTACTGAAGTCGGAGCAGTAGAATAACCGGCAGACAGTTCTGAGGCATAGCTGCCATACGATCCGAATGGCGAGGCAGATGCCAAAGATACGCATGACATTGAGCCCCTGTCACCTGCTCTGTATATCGGATTGGAAGAGCTTCGTGATCGCGTGAGCTTCGCCAGAGACGGTGACGAGGACATTCGCGATAGACCTCTCATGAGGCGATGCCGGTGTTTGGGCTTCGGTTGCTCGTCCATGGGAGTGCCTGGTGCCGAACCGTTTTGAGGAGATTCTGGGGCTGCCTCTTCGGAAGGCTCCTCCATGACAGGAGTGAAGGATATGGCTTGCATCTTGAGTATGTGTATTGCGGCTTTTGATCACCCGATGTCTCGGACGAGGCTTGGGAGGGTTTCGAGGGGTCGATAGGTAATTGCTGTAAGAGAGTCGAAGCCAAAGCTGAATGCGGCTCAGCGAAGAGCCTTCCAAGCACGCATGTAGAAGGACGTGGGACAGGCTGTAGAGGCTCGAGGACCAAGAAGTGTGGAGTACTGTTGTTTCTCAGCACCTGCGTGAATGCTTATATGGGGGGTAGCAGGATGTTTAAGGGTCCTAATGCTGTTCCTGGGCTTAAGAAAGCTTACCGGAAGATATTATGCAAGCGGAGAATCAGGGAGCTGGAGAGGTACAACACATAGGTATAGAGTGGCCGAGAAGTAAGAGATGTTGGTACGGAGTGGACAAATGAATGCTGATTGAATCCCAAGGAACGAACATTCAATGGTCCTGGCGGCCGGGGGCGGGGCCAGCCACAACACCAGGCTGACACTAAGATAAGCCGATAGGTGCACGGTCTTCCGCCCGGCAAACGAGACAAGGAGGAGGACAGTGGTGTTGTGAACAGAGTCCTTGAAGGTCTGATAACGCAATGGGGGAGCATGACTTCTTCTGTCCTTGAAAATGATGATGATCTATCTCGCCATCTTGCGATAACTCACATATCGCATATCGTATCTTGGGCACATGCTACATCCTCGCCAGCCTCGTGAGCCATTTTGGACATTTTCGGTCGCTTACTATTACTGGCACCAATGGCCAGTGCAGCCAAGGACCACTAACGAAGATTCATGCTACTTGGATTCAGTTTACAGCCAGCTCATATCGGAGAGTCGCCTAGAAAGATCAGATATGGTTGGGTAGCTGTAGTCAGACATGTCTCTAGACCAGGGCATCCACGGAGTCACTGAGTTTGTTATCCACTACTGCTCTTTCGAACTCTTACCAAGGGTTCTAGACAGGAGATTTACGTTAGCTGTAGGACTGCAACTGTAACTACCTCAAGAAGCAATGATGCATCTTTGGGACACTTTTAAGGGACTGCACCCTTTGCCACATGGGCTGTCAGGGGCTGTCAGTGTCAGACGCTGGTCGACCAGTAAAGAGACCAAATAGTTCTAGAAGCCTGCTACTTTGGGCCCGTCAGATGGCCTAAATACCACAGGTGCAACGGTGGCACGCGAAAGCGCCACCATCCATCTTTCGGCTGGAGATAAGTCTCGCCCTGATCATGAAGCAGCTGAACTTTGTTGCAGGTCGCTATCTCATCATGTCTTAACCTCAACGTGGGCTATCATCACGGCCTGATGATCATGAGCTGCTCTTATGTCGTACTTGGCTGCCCTCGTGCTCACTTGATGGCCAGCTTATCTACCACTAGCAGTGATGTACTCTCTACCTGGTGCGGATGACTCGAAACGGGACGGTGAGTCCGTCTCTGTGTAGCCGCACTTGCACCTCATATCGTGCAATAGTATGCAATCGAACATTAAGTAAATATCCGTAATACTTAGTCTTAGTATTTGTCTGTATTTGATTGAAACAATCGTGAATAACTAGATATCCATGCATGTCTCTAGCTGGGAAATATTAGAGATTAAATATGCACTGAATATGACGTTTGTAAGCACTACATATGTTATCTTGTATGTGATTCTTGCTCGCGTGGCATATGCTCGTGGATTTACTACAAGGCCAAACTTACGGGTTGCACTACTATAATACTAGCACTTCGACTTCAGGTCGGACGACTCCGTTTGGCATCGCCGCGCTTGAATGCGCTATCTCAATAGCAACCACTACTGGCTGTAATACTCTCTCCTTATCTTACAGTTCAAATCCTGGTATCAATCTGTTCATTTCACAGTCGTTGACAGTCGTTCGCGCGAGTCCTTTGGCTTGCCTTTCATATGAATCACTCGGGCTTGGCCAGGGAGGCAAGGTCAACTATGACCACATCGTACTGTTTTACAGTGGCCATGAGTCCACATACAGTTCCGACTCCAGCGAGGACCGCTCTGCCTATCGCAACCAAGCCCCATTTGTCAACCAAGGCATGAACCGTCTCTTCCTTTTGAATACCAGCCTCCGCAGCTGAAGGTTCGACTTCATTATCTGACATAGTTTGAGCCTTCTCTTCAAGCTTGTTGTTCGTAGGAAGGATGACGAGCATAGTGTATGGGAAGACGAGAAAGTGCATAAGGGCGGCAGTCAAGTAGAGCTTGAAGTTTCTAGGCTGCAAGCCGTCTGAAAAGGTCAGAATTAATCACTCTATGAGACAAACGCACTCGCCTTTCCAAGCCAACCATGAGAAGGCGACTACGGGGATCGCAGTAACGGCGATGCCGAGAGCTCTTGCGCGCACGAACATGGTCACCCATTGTCTGGCAGCCAGGGGCGCTGGAGCTTGCAGAATTGCTGGTATCGCGCAAGTACTGAGAGTCACAACTTGGCCTATCCTTCAATCATCAGTCTATTCGTCGCGAAGACTCTTGAGGATGGAATCCGTTACACTCTTACCTAGCAGGTACGCGGCAGACGTGATTCCAATGCACTGTACTACCTTCACCGACGATGGCATCGGCCTGGCTGCGTACGCACTCATCTTGGCTACGTGCTAGTATTGAGAGCTTTGCAATATCAAAGATGCGGCGAGCAACTCCTGTTGATCTTGTGCAACACCCGGTCGAGCCTTGTTGGTGACAGCGCCAAGCAGACTTGTGATTGGTCAATCACGGAAGCTTCAAGCACGCCGCATATCCATCTGAACTGCATTGTTTCAAGCATCTCAATTCCATTTTGTCGTCGCACTAGAATCGATCATTCAGCCCGATCTATCGTGGGATTGCATGCAAATCAGAACTCTGAAATGGATACATATTATTCGATCATCAGTTGTACCCCGCACTTTTCATTCTTGATCCGAAATAAGTTGACCTTCCAAGGCTCTAGCTCGCCTCGATTCTTCCAGTGCCGTTAAGCAGATCTTGGACATGTACGTAAGAGGCGGCAGGATGCGTGCTATAAGTGACTATAATCATTGTTTGCCGACATATTGTGCTCGATGGTAACCAACCGCTGTCACATAGCTGCGGTGTGCTCCTCTACTTCTAGAAGCATACGCTCAGCACAGTTTCTAGGTCGATGAGCTTCGACTTCTCCTATTCCATAAGATTCATATATTTCCTCATCCATACTGATAGTCAAGATGAGCCTCTCAATTATAGCATTACTAGCTGTATCCCAGCTTTCATTAATCGCAGCAAGCCCACAGGCAGTAGAGCAACTTCTTGACTGTGGTCCAGCTCGCTATTACACATCGTTAGTGAGTATATATGAGTGAGAGTAATGAAGCCTCGTGCTGATGTTAGTAATGGGTAGTATACTTGCTATGATGGCGGCTTTCTATGCCCGGTCATCGAGGGACAGCCAACACTGCGATGCGATGAGGACTGTTACTTACCTAGCATGTATTCGTATGGTAACGCAGATTTTCTGAGCAAAATATGGACTCATGGCGTATAGATGTGTGAACAACCAGCTCGTTTACCCGACAACATCTACGACCGACTCCCCAAACCCGACAGGCACACCAATACTTCCAAATGGCGGTGTAGAATGTATAGAAGAGCCAACAAGATTGCATCTTAGTGACGGACCTTACGAGAACTATTTCTACGGGGATTGTCACTCCAGCTCTCACGTGGTAGTGACGAGCCCACTTGATGATAGCAATTTGACTTTTATTAGTCCACGGCTTCTGGTAAGCTTCAAGGGCATGTGTTATCCTGTCAATTTCTGATTCCATCAGGTTGCTTGGGCCTCTGGCAATAGTGGCCTTCTTGCATTCTTCCAACCCCAAGATGGCGTAAATGGTAGTTTGACGATTCAACTGGAGGAAATGCCATCAGGAAATACGATCGAGGGTGTGTACGAGTCAGGCTCTTCCAGGAATCCGGTCGTTGGGGTAGCCGGATATGTGAGATTGAACTCGTCTGCTGTGTTGACCATTCCTATCCTTGGAAGTATACGGACAATGCGAGACTTTACCGAAGGTCCAAGTCTCCTGTACCCTATCATTCAAGATGCCCTGATAATTGAGGAGATTGCAAACTCTGGAGTATCCATCAGTAGGACATGGCTCGACAATGTCACAACTACACAGTTATCGTTCACACCAGTCGGGGATGCTGGGATTAAAACTGACAACGGGACCTTATTTTTCGAGTCCGGTACTTATCAATTTAATGCAACTTTCGACTATCCACAGCTCGAGCGGATCAGCCCTGACGCGGTTCTCAATCCTTCGTCCTATGCTTTGCTCTCTCAAGCTACAGATCAGGCTGTTTCTCTATCGTTTCTGTCCTATACGGACAAGCTCTTGGCAGGGACATGGCGGTTCCTTACGTACTTCGGTCGAGACACAATGATAGCAATGCTCTTATTGCAACCAGTACTAAGCGAAGGAAAAGACAGTGCCGTCGAAGCAGTCATTGGAGCTGTATTGGAGCGTGTCAACTCGACTGACGGCAGTGTCTGCCACGAAGAGACGATTGGTGATTATGCAACCTACTTGAATATTCAAAACAACATTACGTCAACAGACCCGCAGTACGACTACAAGATGATCGACACAGATTACTTCCTTCCAATCACGATGGAATACTACTTTCTCCGTAGTCCCATCGGACGAGCACGCATGGCCGACTTCCTAGAGACGAAGGCCACTGTAGACCCCAACAATGCAGGAATGTCCTACCGCGATCTGGCCTTGGTCACGGCCGAGCGTATCATGGATCTAACGGCAGCTTTTGCTCAGCCAGGCGGTCAAACTCGTGATAATTTGATACGTCTCAAAGAAGACCAGATTGTCGGCCAGTGGCGTGATTCCACTTATGGCATAGGAGGTGGACGCATTCCGTACGATGTCAACACTGCGCTGGTCCCAGCTGCTCTTCGCTCATTGTCCCAGCTATCGACTGCAGGTTTCTTCCCGGAACACCCTGAATGGAGCACCTTAGCTAGTCGATACGCAGACATCTGGGAGGAATCAACCCTAGATTTCTTTTCTATTACTATCAACACTGAAGAAGCTGCGTCCCTCGTATCCGATTACGTCACAGACAATCAATTCTCCTTCCCGTCACAGGCAGAAACACTCACGTCCCCCATCAACTTCTACGCCCTCGCCCTCGAGGGCAACAACAACCAAGACCTAGTCCGCGTCATGAACACCGACGACTGCTTCCGGCTCTTCCTTCTCAACTCCACGAACCAGGCCCAACTCACCGCTTTCATGGATCAAGTATCGACACACATCCTCGCGCCCTATCCCGTTGGCTTGAGCACCGATGCAGGCCTGCTAGTTGCGAACCCAGCATTCGGCGGAGACCCGGTGTACTCAACGAACTTTACAAATTCCGCGTATCACGGCACGGTTATTTGGTCCTGGCAGCTCGCCATGATGGCGGCCGGACTGGAACGACAACTTGATCGCTGTAATTCTGACTCGCAGCCGGAATTTTGTGCGAATGAGATGCTGCATGTGAAGATTATGGACGCGTATAACCATCTTTGGGACTTGATTGAGGATAACGAAGATCAATTGAGCGGCGAGGTATGGGGTTGGACTTATACGGATGGCCGATTCGAGACGACGCCGTTGGGCAGTCTGCCGCCGCCTCCTGATGGGACGAGACCGGAAAGTAACATCCGACAGCTGTGGAGCTTGACCTTCTTAGCTGTGAGGCGGAATAGTGAGTTTTCAGGGACCCGGCGCTGATGGAATTTTCATGCAGCGCACGGAAACAGTTGAAAGAAATATATTGTCCTGGATGTGCACCCATAAATCGCCTCTCTAACTAACTGCTCGTTTCCCTTGTTCTGTTCGTATAGGCTATACAGTAAAATATCATCATAATAACGTCCATTTAACCAACAAGCAACCCGTATTCCAGCACATATATACTTGTGCCGATTTTTCAATTATTGACATAGTGGGCAATTTAGTCGCTGGTAAGATTAGACCCTCTATTAGCAGACCTGCAATTCTGCAATCAATTTGTGAGTATATAGTACGCAAGCTCCTGCCAGAAAATAGTGAAAATCTTTTAGCTGATTCATATTCATATATAATATACATATCCTCATCTAGGTCATATCTTGACCGTTTTGCATCTACTCAATGCTGGTGGCGATAAGTGTCGTACCCCTTTTTATATTGATCACTAATCGTCCAACATCTGGCTTCCAGAATATTGCCAATGTCGCAATCGAAATTTTTCAAGCCGCATACTCCATCAGCTCAGCTTTTCACCAGAGGCAACTTGCGCACCCGAGGTTCTTAATCTCCAGCATCCCCTTTCTCCAACCTACAAAGAGACCATCCAAGGCCCAACCTCCCCCCTACAACTCCTCAACAACAATCTCCATGCCCCCCTTCGGCTTAATCGTCAACGTCCCCTCCGGCATCGGCTCCACATCCCTCTCCCTCAACTCCCACCGCACCCGCGCCACCAACACCGCCAACATACACTTCAACTCATACCGCGCAAACCCCTGCCCAATACAACTCCTCGGCCCATGCAAAAACGTCACAAACGCATACCCACTCGTCGCCCCGCCCCACTTGCCCTCCTCGCCCAGCCAGCGCTCCGGCCGGAAGACCTCCGCGTCCTCGCCCCACAGACTGGGCAGGCGGTTCGTTGCCCACGGCGAGATCATGACGGATGTGCCGGTGGGGATCGGGGTGTTGTTGATCTGCGTCGGGCGCACGGCGATGCGCGCGGTGACGGGGACGGTGGGGTAGATGCGGAGGACTTCGTTGCAGACGGCGTCGAGGTAGGGCATTGAGTCGATTAGGTCTGCGGTTGCGGGGGTGTTGGGGTCGAGAGCGGGGATGGTTTGGTGGACTTCGGTGCGGAGGCGGGCTTGGACGGCTTGGTGGCGGCCGAGGAGGTAGGTGGCCCATGTCAGGGCGGATGCGGTTGTTTCGTGGCTTGGGGGTGGGTGAGTATATATAGTTGATGATGATGAGTGGGGGGACTTACCCTGCGGCGAGAAAGGTTAGGAGTTGGTCTGTGAGGCCGTCGTCGTTGAACACGCCGGAACGCATGAGGATGGCGATGATGTCCTTCTCCTGGACAGTCTTCTCTTCCATATCTCTGTTCTTCTCGGCGAGCAGGTCTTTGCTGATCCTGCGCAGATCGAAGAGCGCATTCGCGACTCGTGCGTTTGCTTTCAGCGGCAGTTTCCGGATCAGCCATTGCGGGAAGACAAGGTTGACGGCGAAGTACAGGACTAGGTTTCCTTTGCCCTTGGTATCGGTGATGATATCGTATTTCTGCGCAAGCTCATGATCCGCGTTTTCCGTGGTGGAGAAGTCCTTGCCTATCCCTGCGGCGCCGATGATGTCCAGCGTTACACGCGAAGCCAGCGCTGAGACTTCGATGATGCCTCCATTTGATGCTGCAGTCTTTACGACTGCATCACCAAGCATAAGGGATTTACTCCAGAACAAGGGCACGAGATCCTTGATATGTCGCCCCGTGAAAGCCGGCGTTATGGTCTTTCGTTGCCGCTTATGCTCGTTACCCTCCACGTTGATTAGGCCATCACCAAGGACTCTCCGTAGAAACTTGCGCGCCGGAGCAGGCTTCTCATAGTCATACGAATGCGTATTAAGCACCTGCATCAGCGTATCCGGTCGAGTAAGAAGCACGATCGGACCAATATGGAAGAACGTTCGGAAAGTGATCAGGCCGTCATTTGGGATCTCCTTCATCCAACGCAGTAGCTTCGCGCCCGGTGGCCGGTCGAGCATGATTTCGCCATGGCCCCAGATAAAGCGGTCTGTTTGGGGCGTTGGAAGGTGTCGTAAGGGAGATGTGAAGTAGGGAAGCACCAGGCTGTATTGGATGAATGCATACGCAACCAGGCATATTGTCTTTGTCGCTAGGGATGTTCCTGATATGACATTGATACCTGCGAGATGGCACGCGAGAGTTGTTGCTGGAGGGCTGAAGGCCAGAAGTGTCATGTAGACTGTCGCATTTCGAGTCGTCATCTTGTGTAATTAAATATAGAAGAGCACGGCGAGATCTTCACTTAATTACCACGCCTTATCTGCTTTTCAGCATGTCATTCATGTGCTTGGACAGGAGTTGTATGTTTCAATCGTGGACGGACTGATTACCTAGTTAAATTCCGTGTCGGACAGAACTGGACTTGAAAGGAGGTCCGGTCCGTATGCTCGATTATATGTATGCATAGTCGATCCATTGTAGTTCTCGCATAAAGCTTGTTTTGAAAGCTGCCGAGGTTCATCATTTAGTGCACTTAGTGCAGTCCTTGCAGCGCTGGGTCAAACATGGTATAGTTTGCGAGGCGGTACCGTGTTTCCAATGCTCCGGACTTCTCCGAAAGAAGGATAAATGTATTCTATAACGATAATAGGGTTCAAGATGTTGAAACGCCGTCGCCAGACAGTCTTTCTTATATATGCCTTAGGCATCAACCCTAGGCTCACAATTCCATGTTCGGGGTTCCCAGGGGCTCATGCTGCTTTACTTCTTCAAGTTTATCTCTATCCAACTCACTGTCTTCATTTTTTCTGCAGCATGGCCGATACACATAGCAGCCTCGGGAAGCACCGTAGCATTCGCCAGTCTGATCACATATCCTAGCGACATAGATACTCTCCTCACAGTGATAAGAAGGCATCACGATGAATGCTTTCACTGCGAAGCTAGAGTTTGCAACGTTCTCGAGCCAACACGAGGGACTGCGATGGACCGGGTCAGAGGCGTGATCTGATGATATGCCTATGTGCATGTCCGGGTCTAAGTCCGCTGTCGATCATGGTGTGGTACTCGGAGAATTTTACGACAACTTTTCCGCTTCAGGGCGATGAACGACGGAATGTCTCGTAAACCTCTCTATAGCTGCGTGTATTGCTTGGATGCTTGGATGCTGTAGACTTTGCTTTTTTCAGCAGCGTTCATGGCGTGCAGTGTATGTCAAAAGGAATGGTTCGATGTCGGTTCACAGCGTGCAGTGTACGTCAAAAGGAATGGTTCGATGCCAGTTCACAGTGACACAATGACATTATCCAGATCAGTCAGCATGTCCAGTCTACGACAAGAAACGTGATACCCATCGCAGAGTAGAAGTTCGGTAGTATTGCCGTGGTCCAGAACTGGTCATTTCAGGTCTTCTTCATGGCCTACAACTATTTTTGAGCGAGATAGTACTCCTCTGCCATATATGCAAAGTGAGATTATACCTTTCTTCTACGACAAGGCTTGAGGAGGAAGGTGTGATAGAAATCAGCAAAAATTATAACGACAACAATTTTATAATTCTACAATACACTTATCAACGCTTCGGTATTTGTCTTCTCAGTATTACTCAACAGAAGTGGGCATATCAAGTCTATATTCCATTTCTGAGCCTGTGTTTGATATATCTCCAATGAAAATGTCGAGCAACAACACCACCACCACCTTCTCTACAACCTACCAAGTCTAGATCCAAGTC